TCAGTCTCGTTAGCCCAGTAGCTAGTACGCTAACATTAGCTAAAGTTAGCTAGATGACGTGAAGCCTCTTGGCGCCATTCAGCATTTTCGACCAAAACTCAATGATGGATGAGTCACAGGCGAGTTCTGTCACTCCTGGTACCATGTTGTATCTTCTTGTCTAATAAATACTAAAGAAAATTACTGTTCTTTAAAACATAAGTTCTTCTCATTCAAGTTAACCGGAGCCGTACATTGTGCATTGTGCTGGGATCTCCTGCTCTCCCACCTCTCTGCGCGAGCTGCGCGTCCCCTAAGTGGTTACGTGGCCTCCGATACAATATGCCACATCTGGTAGCTAAGAAATTGAACCTAACTAGAGTGAGGATGAATTACCTGAAGTGGCAGGTGCAGTGAAGACTGATGAGCTCGGGCCTCACCCTGAGGATGACAAAGATGAATCTGACCCAGTGGTACTGAGATTTTTGGAGAGAATGGATCCTTGCCATATGGCTTATCCATATGTGGTGTCAGGTTGGGTGAAAAGATGTTGGGGACTGTTGAATTGGTGAAAGTAACTCGAAGTGGTGATGATTTTTTTGGTGGTCTTCCGCCCAGAGGGAGCGGTGGCTCAGCACCACACGCCTCAGGACAAGACCTGTGACTTGCTTTCCTCTCCGAAGCAGGGCGCCGTTGAAAGGAGTGATAACTGGGGTAGCGTTAAGTGTTGAGGAGGATCAACTGAAATTGAAGATTCCTGGTGTCTGTGACGCCTGCCATTTGGTGCGACACTGACTTGGTGGAGAGTGTGGTGAAACAGAGAAGACACTGTCTGTCCTGATGAGTTTTGATGCAGCGTCTTTACCCAACAAAGTCAAGTTAGGATGTGTCAGTTATCCCATGAGAGCTTTTGTCCCGAACCCATTATGGTGTTTTAGGTGGCAAGTTTATGGTCATGCAGCAGTGTGTAGGAGGGAGATTCCTAGACGTGAAAAGTGTGCAGGAGGGCATGAGACAAAGGAATGTGTAGCACAGGAGGCTGCTGAGGCGAGGACGGCTCATAATAATGACTGGAATGGAGCGAATGGAATGGCATCAAACACATGGAAACCATGTGTTGATGTATTTGATACCATTCCAACGCTTCCGCTCCAGCCATTACCACGAGCCCCAATTAACATTTAACATTTAAGTCATTTAGCAGACGCTCTTATCCAGAGCGACTTACAAATTAGTGCATTCAACTTAGGATAGCCAGTGGGACAAGTACTCCTTTTTTATTTTTTATTTTTTTGGAAGGATTACTGTTATACTATTCCAGGTATTCCTTAAAGAGGTAGGGTTTCAAGTGTCTCCGGAAGGTGGTCAGTGACTCCGCTGTCCTGGCGTCGTGGGGGAGCTTGTTCCACCATTGGGGTGCCAGAGCAGCAAATAGCTTTGACTGGGCTGAGCGGGAACTGTGCTTCCGTAGAGGTAGGGGGGCTAGCAGGCCAGAGGTGGATGAACGTAGTGCCCTCGTTTGGGTGTAGGGTCTGATCAGAGCCTGAAGGTAAGGAGGTGCCGTTCCCCTCACAGCTCTGTAGGCAAGGACCATGGTTTTGTAGTAGATGCGAGCTTCAACTGGAAGCCAGTGGAGTGTGCAGAGGAGCGGGGTGACATGAGAGAACTTGGGAAGGTTGAACACCAGACGGGCTGCAGCGTTCTGGATAAGTTGTAGGGGTTTAATGGCACAGGCAGGGAGCCCAGCCATCAGCGAGTTGCAGTAATCCAGACGGGAGATGACAAGTGCCTGGATTAGGACCTGTGCCGCTTTCTGTGTAAGGTAGGGTCGTACTCTGCAAATGTTGTAGAGCATGAACCTGCAGGATCGGGTCACTGCTTTGATGTTAGCGGAGAACGACAGGGTGTTGTCCAGGGTCACGCCAAGGTTCTTTGCACTCTGGGAGGAGGACACAATGGAGTTGTCAACCGTGATGGCGAGATCATGGAGCAGGCAGTCCTTCCCCGGGAGGAAGAGCAGCTCCGTCTTGCCGAGGTTCAGCTTGAGGTGGTGATCCGACATCCATACTGATATGTCTGCCAGACATGCAGAGATGCAATTCGCTACCTGGTTATCAGAAGGGGGAAAGGAGAAAATGAATTGTGTGTCGTCTGCGTAGCAATGATAGGAGAGACCATGTGAGGATATGACAGAGCCAAGTGACTTGGTGTATAGAGAGAATAGGAGAGGGCCTAGAACTGAGCCCTGGGGGACACCAGTGGTGAGAGCACGTGGTGCGGAGACAGATTCTCGCCACGCCACCTGGTAGGAGCGACCTGTCAGGTAGGACGCAATCCAAGAGTGAGCAGCGCCGGAGATGCCCAACTCGGAGAGGGTGGAGAGGAGGATCTGATGGTTCACAGTATCAAAGGCAGCAGATAGGTCTAGAAGGATAAGAGCAGAGGAGAGAGAGTTAGCTTTAGCAGTGCGGAGAGCCTCTGTGACACAGAGAAGAGCAGTCTCAGTTGAATGACCAGTCTTGAAACCTGACTGGTTTGGATCAAGAAGGTCATTTTGGAGGGGATAGCAGGAGAGTTGGCTAGAGACGGCACGCTCAAGAGTTTTGGAGAGAAAAGAAAGAAGGGATACTGGTCTGTAGTTGTTGACATTGGAGGGATCGAGTGTAGGTTTTTTGAGGAGGGGTGCAACTCTCGCTCTCTTGAAGACGGAAGGGACATGGCCAGCGGTCAAGGATGAGTTGATGAGCGAGGTGAGGTAAGGGAGAAGGTCTCCGGAAATGGTCTGGAGAAGAGAGGAGGGGATAGGGTCAAGCGGGCAGGTTGTTGGGCGGCCGGCCGTCACAAGTCGCAAAATTTCATCTGGAGAGAGAGGGGAGAAAGAAGTCAAAGCATAGGGTAGGGCAGTGTGAGCAAGACCAGCGGTGTCATTTGACTTAATAAATGAGGATCGGATGTCGTCAACCTTCTTTTCAAAATGGTTGACGAAATCATCCACAGAGAGGGAGGAGGGAGGGGGAGGAGGAGGAGGATTCAGCAGGGAGGAGAAGGTGGCAAAGAGCTTCCTAGGGTTAGAGGCAGAGGCTTGAAATTTAGAGTGGTAGAAAGTGGCTTTAGCAGCAGAAACAGAGGAAGAAAATGTAGAGAGGAGGGAGTGAAAAGATGACAGGTCCGCAGGGAGTCTAGTTTTCCTCCATTTCCGCTCGGCTGCCCGGAGCCATGGTTATAGTTAACTGTACTGCAGAAATGGAACGTAAATCACAGAAAATAGATGTTAAGGTGCCACAAACCTCCTAGGATGTATAGTATCGGTGGAAAAAGCTGTTTGTGTTAACTGTAGGGGGTACCTATGTTGCTGGAGATCAGAAGTGTCCGGTGAGAGAAATGTAGGTCGAAGTTGCAAGGATCAGAGCAGTACAGAAGGTGTTGTATGCTGAGGAAGTGAAGAGAGTAGTAGAGGAAGATGGGTCCAGGGCAAGGGATCCTAAGAGGCTCCCTGTGAGTATTCCGAGGCCAATAGAGAGTGATAGGAATAACATATGCTTAAGTAAGGTTGGCTTCTTAGCATTCATAGCCATGGTTATAGTTAACTGTACCGCAGAAATGGAACGTAAATCACAGAAAATAGATGTTGTGGTGGCAGCTGCAGAAAAATACTTGGTGTACAAGGTTTTACTGCAGAAGAGTTACAAGGTGTGTTGAACATTTACATTTACATCGATAGTGTCCCGTCCTCCCAGGCTGCCGGCTTGGTGTAGGATCAGATAGGGCCAAAGTAGTGGAATAGTGGTAAGGTTTTAATGAGTGTAGGGTTGGTTGGTAGTGCCATTTTTTCTTCCCTTTTCCCTATTCTGTTCCCCCTCCCCTTTTTGTGACAGTAGGGAAATCTCTTTTGAGAAAAACTCTTTCCTCTCTCCTTTGTGACCCGAAAACCCATAAGTGGTCGAGGAGCATATCAATTCGATGGTAGGCAAACAGAAGACAGTCCTCCCCTCCTCGATAGCCTCCTTTAGGTGAGGAAGCACAAGTGTATCCTACCTGAGTCCTTCACGGAAGAGTTTTGAAATCTGCCACACCCCCTTTGAATCAGCTATTGTTTTCTAGAAGGAGAAAAGCATGCGAACATTTAAAAACGTTATGCTATGTATCCTTTCATGTATAAAATATCTTGCAAATTCGTTTGTATCACTTTATACATTTATTTTGGGATTCCACCCTGTAAACATAATTTGCCTGAAGACGCGCGATTGGAGGAGAGTCTCATTTCATAGGAGCGCATTTTCGTCCACTTTCCCTCTCCTCGCCGCCTCTCCTTGATTACCTTTGACCTTTTTCCAAAAGGAGGCTAGAGGAGAGAGGACGCCGGAGTTGAGCCTATCTAATTGAGAAAAATGACAATGGTAATGAATTAATGTTCCAGAACAGTAGGCGGACACACAGTAGGTGGCGGCATGCACCTCTAACGTATGTTTGCAGACCTCCATAATACAATAGAAGAAGATTTTTTTTTTTTTTTATATATATATATTTTAATGTTTGACGCTACATTCCAAACCGGAAGTTACCCAATTTGCTCTACAGGCGGAAAAAGAGCTGAAACAGAAAGAAAACAGACAAAAAGTAGCAAGCTAGCTACGTTCATTTCTGAAGAAATTAAACAGTTTACTTAGCGCGATATTATTTTTTAGCAATACGCCTTTGTATTTGCGTGTGCCCTGTGTTCATCCAAGCCTGTCCACAAAGATAACAGACGGGTCACAAATTGAACAACCAGGCAGGAGGTTGAGCTATGCAAACGCCTGTCTTTTCCGACGAAAGGAGAGGGCATATGATTACTTTAAATTAGCTAGCTAGCAAGCTCACCATAATTTTCTTCGTCTTGTGAGATTTGTGTGGTTATTACTGTCTTTATTCGAGAACGATAGCGATAGTAACCACGGTAGTTGCCTAAATACGTGCCCAGGAATTGTCATTCATTGACGGCCTCCAAGCCCCGGGGCTCTCCCCCGGCCGGCGACAGAAGCATGGCAGGAAATCCGAGGAGAGGCGCGGGTCTCATCGGCTTGATGAAGGACGCATTTCAGCCCAATCACCAGCCTCTCCAGCCTCCCCAACCTGCGGTGGTAGACAAGAAAATGGTGGAGAAATGCTGGAAACTAATGGATAAGGTAGGTAACAAGCCATCTAATTTCCTCAGGTCTTATGGTAAGTGCATTTGAAGGGTAGTGCAATTGTCTATTTAAATAGCCAGAATAGGCGTTATTACTGCCACTTCTAGTGTGTGTGGTACACATTCAGTGGACAGGGAGCCATGTATTATGTTCAACATAGGAGGGCCAAGCACAGGAAGTAGCTCTTTCAGTAGTTTAGTTGGAATAGGGTCCAGTATGTAGCTTGAAGGTTTAGAGACATGACCATTTTCATGAATGTGTCAAGAGATGTAGGTTTAAAAACATGAGTGTCTCCATTGATCCTAGGTCATGGCAGTTTGTGCAGACTCAGGACAGCTGAGCTTTGGAGAAATACGCAGATTCAAAGAGGATTCCGTAATTTGCTTTCTAATGATCGTGATCTTTTCGTCGAATACCTGCTGTTTTCAACTCTCTTTCAACCTGCTATTTCAACCTCAAAATGCCCTGCTATGAAAAGCCAAGTGACATTTACTCCTGATGTACTGACCTGTTGCAACCTCTACAACCACTGTGATTATTGTTTGACCCTGCTGGTCATCTATGAACGTTTGAACGTCTTGGAGAAAATCTGGCCTTAATAGCCACCCTGCTTCTACATCTGCATTGCTTGCTGTTTGGGGTTTTAGGTTGGGTTTCTGTATAGCACTTTGTGACATCTGCTGATGTAAAAAGGGCTTTATGAATACATTTGATTGAATACTCAAAATATGAAATGCAAGGTTTGCAAATGTCCATAGTGTAGTAATAGCAAAACAATAGCAAAACAATAGGACAGTGTGACAAGTCAATACTATTTATTCTGCAAAATGAAGGTAACATATTCAGGCATTTCTTTATTGGTCTGCATTTTTTATTTATAAAATGGGCTCCAATACATTGTTCCCCAAATGGCCACAATTTCCAAGTATGCTGATTGGGCTATTTTGACTTCAGCAGAGTGTACAAGTTGTCTATTCAGTTTCACAACAAAGTGTGATGAACTAACCATCAAGTGGTTATTACATTATTCCTCTTTTGCTTCCTCACAAGCGTACCTGATCCCTGTGTCTAATGGCCTATTCAGCTATTACAACAATACCAAGTAGCCCTAAAAGGTATTATTTTGTCATGTATTTTACATTTGACACAACCTCAAGAAATGATAGGCCTACAAAATGGTATGTTCCCTTTCCTACTGCTGGTGTGGTAAAAATATACTATTGTGAATAATATTTTCTACAAATCAAATTATATTGGTTGGGTACACTTATTTTGCAGCTGTTATGGCGGGTGTAGCGAAGTGCTTATGAACAAAGATGATAAGGACTACTTGGTGTACTTTCAAAAAGGACAGTTGAGACAATAACACGGTACTGGCTAGGCCTGGTTGTGTGAACCAGCTGAATTATAAACATCAACCAGACTGAAAATAATTAAATTAGCCACAAGCAGGAGCCACAATGTAAAGTTTTGATTTTCCACTTGCCCGTAAATATCCAGGTCACTCATACCCCAAATGTACTCACACTGGTGTGTTTGTCATGATAAGTCCTGCCTGGTTCTCCTGTCCCCTCCATTCAAATACACTACTGGTCAAAAGTTTTAGAACACCTACTCATTCAAGGGTTTTTCTTTTATTTGTACTATTTTCTACATTGTAGAATAATAGTGAAGACACAAACTATAAAATAACACATATGGAATCATGTAGTAACCAAAAAAGTGTTTTTTCAAATAGCAACCCTTTGCCTTGATGACAACTTTGCACAATCTCTCAACCAGCTTCACCTGGAATGCTTTTCCAATAGTCTTGAAGGAGTTCCCACATATGCTGAGCACTTGTTGGCTGCCTTTCCTTCACTCTGCGGTCTGACTCATCCCAAACCATCTAAATTGGGTTGAGGTCGGGGGATTGTGGAGGCCAGGTCATCTGATGCAGCACTCCATCACTCTCCTTCTTGGTCAAATAGCCCTTACACAGCCTGGAGGTGTGTTGGGTCATTGTCCTGTTGAAAAACAAATGATAGTCCCACTTAGCCCAAACCAGATGGGATGGCGTATCGCTGCAGAATGCTGTGGTAGCCATGCTGGTTAAGTGTGCCTTGAATTCTAAATAAATCACCAGCAAAGCACCCCCACACCATAACCAAGACTTTTGTATTTTTGACTTTATGTTTTGTTTACCCCATATGTTACTCTGTGTTGTTGTTTTTATAGCACTGCTTTGCTTTATCTTGGCCAGGTCGCAGTTGTAAATGACAACTTGTTCTCAACTGGCTTACCTGGTTAAATAAAGGTGAAATAAAATAAAAAATAATACCACCTCCTCCATGCTTTATGGTGGGAACTACACATGCGGAGTTCATCCGTTCACCCACACCGCGTCTCACAAAGACACAGCGGTTGGATCCAAACATCTCAAATTTGGACTCCAGACGAAAGGACACATTTCCACCGGTCTAATGTCCATTGCTCGTGTTTCTTGGCCCAAGCAAGTCTCTTCTTATTATTGGTGTCCTTTAGTAGTGGTTTCTTTGCAGCAATTCGACCATGAATGCCTGATTCACACAGTCCCCTCTTAACAGTTGATGTTGAGTTGTGTCTGTTACTTGAATTCCATGAAGCATTTATTTGGGCTGCAATTTCTGAGGCTGGTAACTCTAATGAACGTATCCTCTGCAGCAGAGGTAACTCTGGGTCTTCCATTCCTGTGGCGGTCCTCATGAGAGCCAGTTTCATCATAGTGCTTGATGGTTTTTGCAACTGCACTTGAAGAAACTTTCAACGTTTTTGAAATGTTCCGTATTGACTGGCCTTCATGTCTTAAAGTAATGATGGACTGTCATTTCTCTTTGCTTATTTGAGCTGTTCTTGCCATAATATGGACTTGGTCTTTTACCAAATAGGACTATCTTCTGTATAACCCCCCACCTTGTCACAACACAACTGATTGGCTCAAACGCATTAAGAAGGAAAGAAATTCCACATATTAACTTTTTAAGAAGGCACACCTGTTAATTGAAATGCATTCCAAGTGACTACCTCATGAAGCTGGTTGAGAGAATGCCAAGAGTGTGCAAAGCTGTCATCAAGGCAAAGGGTGGCTACTTTGAAGAATCTCAAATATAAGATATATTTTGATTTGTTTAACACTTTTTTGGTTACTACATGATTCCATATGTTATTTCATAGTTTTGATGTCTTCACTATTATTCTACAATGTAGAAAATAGTAAAAATAAAGAAAAACCCTTGAATGAGTAGGTGTTCTAAAACTTTTGACGATAGTGTATATCTGTTTATCTTCCCTATTCATGCAGTCTGCCCACACAACAATGATAGAACATATTATCATAAATCGTTGAAGCCTGAAAAAACACAAATACACCTGCATCTGTATCCTGTTTTAATTCCATCCCAGTGTTAGAGTTAGCATGATTTTACTAGTGACAATTTCAGTTCTTGTAATATCTAGGGCTAGACTTTCTCTCCTAACCACGTACCTTTTAGCAATTATAACATAGACAAAATGTGTTTTTGTCTTGACAAAGATCAAGTGTTGACATAGCCCATACGTAAACTGATGCAGAAAAAACAAGAAATGAAAACATTTTTACGTTTTAATGTAGGCAATTTCTCACAGATACATGTTGGAGAAACACGTCCAGGTTCCTCTGACCTCGTCTCACCCTCCCTTTCCCACGCAGGTGGTGCGTCTCTGCCAGAACCCTAAGGTGGCCCTGAAGAACAGCCCCCCCTACATCCTGGACCTGCTGCCAGACACCTACCAGCACCTCCGCACCATCCTGTCCCGCTACGAGGGCAAGATGGAGACTCTCGGGGAGAACGAGTACTTCCGGGTGGTGATGGAGAACCTGACCAATAAGATCAAGCAGACCATGAGCTTGTTCAAGGAGGCAAAGGAGCGCATGTATGAGGAGAACTCTCAGCCCAGGTAAAATGGAGGAGGATATTGAGCCTGCTGGGTGCTAGTCTGTTTCTGCTTTAGCCAACTTGTTGTTGTTCAGCTTTAAGGCTAGAACCAAACTTGAAAAGTAGGCCTAGGGGTTCCTATCAAAGGTTTCCTTTCTCGTTATCAAAGTGACTGGTATGTCTTATTTTCGAAGTGATTTCGACCACTTGCGGGGAAGTATAAGAGCATTTATGCATGTCTCAGCAGTGTTAACCTCCTCTTGAGTGAAGCTTCAAAACAGGAACACCCTGGTGGGAGATGGTGTGTGATCAGTGTTTTGAATCTCTTCCAAGAAACTACCCCACACCTCAAACCAATGTTCCATGAATTAAGCACAGGTTCTGTTATTTGCAATGATTTGTAGCCATTTCCACATGAAAAAAGACTAGAAAATAGGAATTGGACATTTTCGTTATTTAGTTGCAGCTAACATTGTTTACATTTACATTACATTTTACATTTGAGTCATTTAGCAGACGCTCTTATCCAGAGCGACTTACAGTTAGTGAATACATATTTTTGTATACTGGCCCCCCGTGGGAATCGAACCCACAACCCTGGCGTTGCAAACGCCATGCTCTATCAACTGAGCTACATCCCTGCCGGCCATTCCCTCCCCTACCCTGGACGACGCTGGGCCAATTGTGCGCCGCCCATGTTTAAAGCTAAGTGAACCGGTGAGGAGTTATGCAAGAACCACTAGGCTAAATGATGAACATATCTTTTTAGGGTATATTTCCTCTTTTACTCAAAAAGACACTGCTAAGCTAAAAACCCATCCTGTTTACTTTACAGCGTTCAGTGAAGCAATCATAGAACTATAACTATTTTAGTTCTGTGAAAGCAATGATGCTATCAGTGATTCTTCTGACTCACAAGTAGCACAAATGCATGAGCCATAATAGGAAACTGACGTGCTAGTACTCGTATATAAAATGAAATAGTTTGATTGGGGAAAATGTTTTCTCTTAATGTGACTATCTTCTAAACTAGTATTCAGAGGAATGTAAAATAAATTGTTTAGCCCCTGTGTAAACTTTAGTGGTCTAAAGAGGTAAACCCACCAGGCGGTCTCCAGCATATACAGTGGGGGAAAAAAGTATTTAGTCAGCCACCAATTGTGCAAGTTCTCCCACTTAAAAAGATGAGAGAGGCCTGTAATTTTCATCATAGGTACACGTCAACTATGACAGACAAAATGAGATTTTTTTTCTCCAGAAAATCACATTGTAGGATTTTTAATGAATTTATTTGCAAATCATGGTGGAAAATAAGTATTTGGTCAATAACAAAAGTTTCTCAATACTTTGTTATATACCCTTTGTTGGCAATGACAGGTCAAACGTTTACTGTAAGTCTTCACAAGACGTTTTCACACACTGTTGCTGGTATTTTGGCCCATTCCTCCATGCAGATCTCCTCTAGAGCAGTGATGTTTTGGGGCTGTCGCTGGGCAACACAGACTTTCAACTCCCTCCAAATATTTTCTATGGGGTTGAGATCTGGAGACTGGCTAGGCCACTCCAGGACCTTGAAATGCTTCTTACGAAGCCACTCCTTCGTTGCCCGGGCGGTGTGTTTGGGATCATTGTCATGCTGAAAGACCCAGCCACGTTTCATCTTCAATGCCCTTGCTGATGGAAGGAGGTTTTCACTCAAAATCTCACGATACATGGCCCCATTCATTCTTTCCTTTACACGGATCAGTCATCCTGGTCCCTTTGCAGAAAAACAGCCCCAAAGCATGATGTTTCCACCCCCATGCTTCACAGTAGGTATGGTGTTCTTTGGATGCAACTCAGCATTCTTTGTCCTCCAAACACGACGAGCTGAGTTTTTACCAAAAAGTTATATTTTGGTTTCATCTGACCATATGACATTCTCCCAATCCTCTTCTGGATCATCCAAATGCACTCTAGCAAACTTCAGACGGGCCTGGACATGTACTGGCTTAAGCAGGGGGACACATCTGGCACTGCAGGATTTGAGTCCCTGGCGGCGTAGTGTGTTACTGATGGTAGGCTTTGTTACTTTGGTCCCAGCTCTCTGCAGGTCATTCACTAGGTCCCCCCGTGTGGTTCTGGGATTTTTGCTCACCGTTCTTGTGATCATTTTGACCCCACGGGGTGAGATCTTGCGTGGAGCCCCAGATCGAGGGAGATTATCAGTGGTCTTGTATGTCTTCCATTTCCTAATAATTGCTCCCACAGTTGATTTTTTCAAACCAAGCTGCTTACCTATTGCAGATTCAGTCTTCCCAGCCTGGTGCAGGTCTACAATTTTGTTTCTGGTGTCCTTGACAGCTCTTTGGTCCTGGCCATAGTGGAGTTTGGAGTGTGACTGTTTGAGGTTGTGGACAGGTGTCTTTTATACTGATAACAAGTTCAAACAGGTGCCATTAATACAGGTAACGGGTGGAGGGCAGAGGAGCCTCTTAAAGAAGACGTTACAGGTCTGTGAGAGCCAGAAATCTTGCTTGTTTGTAGGTGACCAAATACTTATTTTCCACCATAATTTGCAAATAAATTCATAAAAAATCCTACAATGTGATTTTCTGGATTTTTTTTCCTCCGTTTGTCTGTCATAGTTGACGTGTACCTATGATGAAAATTACAGGCCTCTCATCTTTTTAAGTGGGAGAACTTGCACAATTGGTGGCTGACTAAATACGTTTTTTCCTCACTGTACCACCACACATGCATTGCAGCAGATGACACTTCTAAGAACCTCATCACACTTTCTTACAACTGAATGGGTGAGCAAGTAAGATGAACGGAATTGAATCAAACGCAATCGCTTCTTTATTGCGCTTTCCCTTTGATCGCCTGTAGTGAATACTCCAGTTGGTATTGCATACCAATCCCCACTCAAAGGTGTTGCTTTAGTAGACTAAAGTGTATTTAGTATCCAATACCAATCATAAGCGACTAGGCTTATACTGCCTAGCCTAAATGTTTGACCAGGGGGTGCCAAAGTCAAAAAATGCATTACCATTGGTCAACCTCAGGGATATTAGGTTTGTTTGAGGACCTGATTTGCTAAGATGAGATATAAGAACTTTTCTCCATAGGCGAAACCTGACCAAGCTGTCACTGATATTCAGCCACATGCTGGCTGAGCTAAAAGCCATCTTTCCCAATGGCTTATTCCAAGGAGACAACTTCCGCATCACCAAAGCTGACGCCGCTGAGTTCTGGAGGAGGTCTTTTGGTGATAAGTGAGTTTGTTTTTGTCTCCTTTCATTATATAAAATGTCCTTAGTTGGGATGCCGTATTTACAAAAGGGGTTCAAATGAAACTAAAACGCTTACCCAAAAACATGCCTGGGGATAATTACTACTTTTGTATCACTAAACGCTTTCCCCTCTGTAGGACCATTGTTCCATGGAGGACGTTCCGCCAGGCTCTTCATGAGTTCCACCCCATCAGCTCAGGCCTGGAGGCCATGGCTCTCAAGTCTACCATCGACCTCACCTGCAACGACTACATCTCCGTCTTCGAGTTTGACATCTTCACCAGGCTCTTCCAGGTAATGATTTGCATGTATTTGTATTTAAGTTTCTCAAACTCAAGTAATGATGATGATGGATGGGTTTCTATAACGCTTTTCCAGGTGCCTAAAACACTTTAAATGGAATGGGGGAACTCAACTCATTCACTACCAAAATAGTTTTACACCCCTTCCAACACCAATATATAGGGAATGTACTTTCACTGCTCCCAATTCCCATTCCTGACCCACTCACTATCATATTACTTTGGATGAGAGTGTCTGCTAAATGAATACAAGGTCACTTACAGTAAGTGTATTCAGGACCACTTACTCTAACATTGTCATCATATTCATAAATAAGTAACCACCCTAAATAACTTGCTTCTCTGCTATTGGAGCTTTCCAAAAATGGATGTAGCAACTAAGGATTCTAGCTTTAAGCACGACAGCAACATAGTACCTTTTACAGTCACAAAATTATTTTCTCTCTGGGGTGCCAAATGTGTAGAAAGTTCACTGTAGAAGTTAACAAACCTGTTGGGGGTGGCTAAGAAAAGGCCTGCGACACCATTGTGTGGGTGGTTAATTTCAACCATGGGTACCTTTTTATTCCATCTGAGGCCATAAGGACATGTGAGTGCAGAGGTACAGACAGCTGCTCTATCATTATTTAGGGTGGGGTGGTTAAAGTACACTCAGTACGTCCTCTATTGGAGGTATCCCAACTGGGCGTGGCCTTTACAGTAGTTCCCTCGACTGTGTGTGCACAGAGGCCACAAGTGTTGCCATAGCCTGACTCCGGGCAGTCTGAAACCAAAATGACTTCCTCAAATTAGCCCTGAGAATTGAACTGGAGATGCCTGTAAATGTTTAACCAATGTAGCTTGTAGTGCAGCAGTGGTTACCAGCCAGTGGCCCTGGAGAGCTACTGGGTATGCAGGCTTTTGTTGCAGCCCACCACTAACACATCAGCTTGAACTAATAATAAATTAATCATCAAGACATTGAGCTGATTTAGAGCTGGGCTGGAACAAAATCATGCACGCCCTGTAGCTCTCCAGACCATGGTTGATGACCACTGTTGTAGTAAATATCAGGTGAAGAACCAAATCAAATGTATTTATAAAGCCCTTTTTACATTAGCAGATGTCATAAAGGGCTTATACAGAACCCAGCCTAAAACCCAAACGGCAAGCAAAGCAGATGTAGAAGCACGGTGGCTAGGAAAAACGACCTAGAAAGGCAGGAACCAAGGAAGAAACCCAGAGAGTAACCAGGCTCTGAGGGGTGGCCAGTCCTCTTCTTGCTGTGCCGGGTGTAGATTATAAGAGTACATGGCCATTAAGGCCAGATCGTTCTTCAAGATGACCAGCAGGGTCAAATAATAATCAGTGGTTGTAGAGGGTGCATCTCAGGAGTAAATGTCACTTGGCTTTTAATAGCCGAACATTCAGAGGTTGAGACAGCAGGTGCGGGAGGGAGGGAGAGGGTCCGGGACAAGGTAGCACGTCCGGTGAACAGGTCAGGTTTCCATAGGCACAGGCGAAACAGCAGAAACTGGGTCAGCAGCACGACCAGGTGGACTGGGGACGGGGGCAGCCGGGAGTCATCAGGCCAGATGGTCCTAGGGCTCAGGTCCTCCGGGAGGGTAGAGAAAGATGGGAGAATTAGAGGGAGGATACTTAAATTCACACAGGACACCAGATAAGACAGGAGCATTTCACCAGATAGGACAGACTAGCCCTAGCCCCCCGGCACATAGACTATTGCAGAATAGATACTGAAGGCTGAGACGGGGGGTCGGGGGACACTGTGGCCCTGTCCGACGATACCCCCGGTACAGGGCCAACCAGGCAGGATATAACCCCATCCACTTTGCCAAAGCACAGCCCCCACACCACTAGAGGGATATCAACAGACCACCAACTAGGACTGTGGCGGTCATGAAATGTTGTCAGCCGGTGATTGTCAAGCAAACTGCCGGTCTCACGGTAATTGACCGTTAATTAACATAAACACATTTAGCATCTCCTGGCTTCCACACATAGCCTACAAGCCACTAATGAAGACCTTTGGAACATCTACATTTTAGTCTAATAAATCCATGTAACACCATCACAAGAAATCCATTATTTATTTTAAACAGGCCTAAAGAAACATGATATGAAGAAAATGTAGTTTATTTCAGAAGAACAGTATAGCACAATCTGAGTTGTCCTTATGTTAGGCCCTGATCTGGCTATGCCATATGGCTGTGGGCTACACTAGTTCATTTAGCAGACAAGATTTGCTTAGAATTCCGTTGCATTATTTTATATTATTTTATATTATGAAGAATACAATTGAACATAGCTGAATAAAATAGAAAGGATATTTTCTCCAAACAATTTGAGGGAGTGTGCACATGCGGCTATTCTGTGATTAGCAGTTAACAAAGACACAGGTACTCCTATATGCTTAATTTATAGTTATTTATGTAACTTTAGTTGTGATATAAATGTTGGGCTATATGTTTAGATTTTTAATAATAGTTAGCTGCATGATGTGACTAATGATGATTTGAAAAAAGTCGCATGAAAGGCATGACCTCTGCTTTGTTTTTTGCGCAGGCTGTACACACTTCATCAGTCTCTCATTCACAATTTGACAAGCACTTGATAATGCCTCAATTTTCCGGCTGCATCCCCTTTTGGGTGGCCTTAATGCCCCCTAAAAACATCCATGCCTTCTGCGGCCAGTGCCCGTTGTGCCCTTAGGCTGAATATAATAATTATAATGAGCTTCTCCCGGCTGCGTGCCGAAGCACCTCTCACTCACATGGCTCTCCGTCATGTGATCGGATCTTTCTCATAGGCTGCAAGGGAAGACCGACACATCTGGGACACAACTGCGCGCGTCCTTATCCAATTCCGAGGTGCATATTGAAGATATTGGAAGAACTGTCCACATTTACTTTTCGTCAGCCAACAAGATGAGTAGGCCTAACGAACAGCAAAAGCACTAGCCTATGTCAATCTACTATCCCCTATAGTACAAAAGTTGACCTACTCTATTATGTGCGAGAAAATAAATATTCCAAACATAGTCTGGGACAGTTGTTGTGGGATGCGATCAGTGGTGTAAAGTACTTAAGGAAAAATACTTTAAAGTACTACTTAAGTCGTTTTTTTTGGTATCTGTACTTTACTATTTATATTTTTGACTACTTTTACTTTTACTTCACTACATTCCTAAATAAAATAATGTACTTTTTACTCCATACATTTTCCCTGACACCCAAAAGTACTCGTTCCATTTTTAATGCATAGCAGGACAGGAAAATGGTCCAATTAATGCACAAATCAAGAGAACATCCCTGGTCATCCCTACTGCCTCTGATCTGGCAGACTCACAAAACACAAATGCTTCGTTTGTAAATTATGTCTGAGTGTTTGAGTGTGCCCCTGGCTATCCGTAAATTAAAAAGATTTGCTTAATATAAGGAATTTGAAACGATTTATGCCTTTACTTTTGATACTTAAGTATATTTTAGCAATTACATTTACTTTTGATACTTAAGTATATTTAAAACCAAATACTTTTAGACTTTTACTCAAGTAGTATTTTACTGGGTGACTTTCACTTTTACTTGAGTCATTTTCTTTTAAATTATCTTTACTTTCACTCAAGTATGACAATTGGGTACTTTTTACACCACTGGATGCGATAGATCCCAAATTAATACAACCACTAGCATCAATAAACCTGTTTTTAAGCAATGAGCCTGATGCAACAGATGAGAACGTTTAGCTTAAAATGTTGATAAACTATTAGGCTATTTCTTCACATTATAAGCGCAGCAATGCGCACACGGCAGTAGGCTATAAGCGCGAATGTTCCATTAGCAGGAAAACACCATTCTCAAAAGTGACCACAAATGCGAATATGCATGTATTGCTTTTATTATAAAGGTGCATTTATATGGTGAAAATTATCTTCCCCAAACTTGAAACTCATGCACTGCGTATGCATGCCATTTAGGCTCTACACCCATTGTAAAGCGTATTAATGTGCTTTGTTTTAAAAGTTATTTGGCCACTTTAGTTGTGATACAAACCTTATCAAAACATATAGGCCTATGGGCTAGGCTACATGAGCTATGATTAGGAAAAAGCCTCAAAAATAATAATGTGCTCTTTGCCTTAAGCTGGGCATCATTCACAAGTGATAATATATTATTCACAAGTGATAGGCTAATATTGTCACCCATCACACTGTTCTTGATTTAATATTGTCTTTACATATACTAAATAATATATGTGTGAAATTTGTTTTGATTTAGAATGGACTATTATCATGCACCTGTCTCGAAACAGGGGCAACGGAAAAAAATACATGTCATCTATGCACTTAAATAGCGAATAGAGGACGCTTTTCACATGGGTAATTTTCATCCCAGTCAGGTAGGCTCAATGTCCTTAATATTAGGAAAGTTGAGAAATGAATATAGTAGGCCTAGCCTATAGAAAGCAGATGGGATCCTCCTCTTTTTAAGAGGTCATCACTCTGTTCACACGCAATTGCATAGCCTATAGAAATGTTGAGCAAAATGAGCTCATGGGCTCTCATGAAGTGTTTGATTTAGATTTCCGATTACATTTGCATTGATGTCAGAGTGATTAGCGGGACAATAGAGTGCTAAGTACCAGGCAGTTAGCAAGTTTGGTAGGCTACCACATTTACATTTTAGTCATTTAGCAGACGCTCTTATCCAGAGAGACTTACAGTTAGTGAGTGCATACATTTTTCATACTGGCCCCCCGTGGGAAACGAACCCACAACCCTGGCGTTGCAAGCGCCATGCTCTACCAACTGAGCTACAGGGGACCCTGTAATGACCATCAGCAGCATCAGAGCTTGGAGAAGCCTAATTACCGTGACTAAGCGGTCACGTGGAATTTGACTGTCATGACTCGTGACAGCCGGTGTGGCGGTAATACGGTCACTGTAACAGCCCTACCACCAACTTACTACCCTGAGACAAGACTGAGTATAGCCCACGAAGATCTCCTCCACCGCACAAGCCCGAGGGGGCGCATAACCGGACAGGAAGATCACGTCAGTGACTCAACCCACTCAAGTTGAGTATAGCGAAAAAAGCCTGGCACGACGTGACGCACTCCTCCTAGGGACGGCATGGAAGAGCGCTAGTAAGCCAGTGACTCAGCCCCCGTAATAGGGTCAGAGGCAGAGAATACCAGTGGGAACACAAGTGCTTTTTTAGTTTTTTGTTAACTAGGATTACGATTTGTTGTCAGGGTTTTGACCATGGTGTGCGTGCATGTGTGTGCTTGCACGTGTGTGTGTGTGTGTGTGTTATGTAGCCGTGGTCATCTCTCCTGAGAAACTGGAACAGTCTGGCTGTCACACACTCAGGGTACATGGCCTTCCTCACCTACGACGAGGTCAAAGCCCGGCTTCAGAGGTTCATCCACAAGCCTGGCAGGTGAGACACACACACTGACATACACACACTTGCATGCACTTGCATACACACTAACACACACAAACAGTGAGGCACACAGACCATCCAAATACATCAACATGTACACTCACAACTTCCCTCATGGACCACACACACCTCGCTGAATGTTGATCTGCTGCTCGTTCGGCGTGGTGTATTTTAGGGACCATTCTACATGTACAATCGGTTTGCAAATTACGGCCGGCCCTCACACACCACACGTCTGTGGTCTGCCTCTGTCCCAGTTATATCTTTAGACTGAGCTGCACTCGGCTGGGCCAGTGGGCCATTGGCTACGTCACTGCAGATGGGAACATCCTGCAGACCATCCCCCACAACAAGCCCCTCTTCCAGGCCCTCATTGACGGATACAGGGAGGGATTGTGAGTACCATGACATAGCCAAGATGAAAGAATGACCAAATACTACCTTCTCTGGTTCTATGAAGGCGTTTGCTAAATCTGTTATAAAGTTTCCTCTGAAAGAGGTTGAAATCAGTTTCTAAGACTACAAACTAAAGTCACCACAGAATTGCACATTTAATTAGTTGAAATAACAGGAAATCATACAGCCTGTGGCTTCAACTGGCCATTGAAATGTTTTGGTTTGTTGCTCTCTCTCCAGCTACCTGTTCCCAGATGGCCGGACCCAGAACCCAGACCTCACAGGGCTGTGTGAGCCCTCCCCACAGGACCACATCAAAGTCACACAGGTCAGACACACATACTCACATCCACTTCAGGTTGTAATTCAGACTTCAGATTCAATTGTGTGACTCAAAAGTTTGCCTACTGTAATTTTCCATAGCTTACAATGCCCTAAACTTACATTTGTATACTTATTCAGATTTATGTGTGTCTTTCTCAAGTCAGAATGCTGTCTGTTTAGATGGATGTTTCCTAAAGAAATGTGTCCTATTGTAGTATGCATACACTGAGATATTATTACATTTCTGTTGCATCGCCTTTCTCTTCTCTGTTACAGGAGCAGTACGAGCTCTACTGTGAGATGGGCTCCACATTCCAGCTGTGTAAGATATGTGCAGAGAATGACAAGGATGTGAAGATCGAGCCCTGTAGCCATCTCATGTGCACCTCCTGTCTCACTGCCTGGCAGGTAGGTCCCAGAGTTGGGTCACCCTGAAATTGTCTATTGTTTCACTCAAGCATTTTGTACATTTTATCTGGTCAGATTTAGTCTATTTTGGTCCTGTGCTGTTGCTCTCCCCTCTTCCTCTCCTTTCTTTTTCTGTCTCTCTCTATAGGAGTCGGAGGGGCAGGGCTGTCCGTTCTGTCGCTGTGAGATTAAAGGCACGGAGCCCATTGTGGTGGACCCCTTCCACCCCAAGAACAATGGCAGCGGGGCCTCCTTCGCCAGCTTCCAGGGGCCCTACGGGGCGGAGGGAGGGGGCTCCCTGTCAGTCTCCCCGAGCAATGACGAGGACGATGACGAGCGCCTGGAGGACCCCCACCTCAACATGAGCAGGCTGGCCTGCACCAAGGCAAGACCCCCTCGCCACCAGCCACCATCTAGAACCAGACAGACTTTGTCATGTTCTCTCGCTTTCTTCTACACACACCATCTCACAACGTCATTGTTTCCTTATGTGCTCAAAGTGAAAAGGCAATCTATAAAAGACTTGGTCGTTTTCAGAATTCACCAATCAGATACACCACCCTGTAAATCAACAACTAAAAAAACAGCTCCTCCATCTACATGTTGTAGAAACAGTCTAACGTCTGGAGTTTGTTTTGATGTCTCCCCTGTGTGTTTTCAGTTAGAGCGCCCACCCTCCCCTGTGACGCCACTGCCCCCGGTGCCCCCCCGGCTGGACCTGCTGCAGCCGAGGCCCCCCAGCTCCCCAGGGGCCCTGGGCCAAGGAGCCACACCCAAGGCAAGTGGAGAACCTAATCCTTTAATCACTTAATCAAATTCAAGCTTTCTTATGTATATAAGGGTGTGTGACCATGCATGTCATGTGGCATTTACATTTCACTAATTTAGCAGACACTCTAATCCAGAACGACTTGCAATGAATTTACAATTATAAATTGCATCCAGTCATATTAATATCTGCTCTCCCCAGATTGCAGCCCTCCACAGAGACAAACCTTTGCCTCTCCCTCCTGCCCTGCGAGAGTTACCCCCACCTCCCCCACCCGAGCGCCCCTCTCCCCTTGGGCCCCCAGAGGGCCGGCTCCAGAGGAGACCCCTGCCATGTACACCTCCGGAGCCCAACTGGGCCTCCAACTACATGGTTCCCCGGCCTGTTGCCAATGCCCCCCCACAGACCAACGGACCCAGTGACAGTGACTGCATCCCCAGAGCAAAGCCGCTGGCAGCGACCAACGCTATCTACTCCCTGGCAGTCAGGTATGGCATTTGTATAGATATGGATAAAATATGTGGTATGTATGTAATGTAGATGTTCAATTGAGATTAGTCACTCTGCCCTGAAGAGCTCAGGGAAATGCAGGTTTTGGTTCTAGTCCAGCACTAAAACACTAGATTTTATGTAGTAGTGGTCTTCCATTCCTGACGTGATTGGTTGAATCAGATGCTCTCTGGGACTTACACTCTCTGGACCCCCTTTTGCCTCCAGAACAGCCTGAATTCTTCGGGGCATGTATTCTTCAAGGTTTCGGAAACGGTCGTTGCTCAGTTGGTATCAAGGGACCTAATGTGTGCCAGGAAAACATTCCCCACACCAGTACACCACCGCCACCAGCCTGTACCAGGCAGGGTGGGTCCATGGACTCGTGCTGCTTACACCAAATCCTGACTTGCCATCAGCATGACGGAACACAAACCGGGATTTGTCGGACCAGGCGATGTTTTTCCAGTCCTCAACTGTCCTGTGTTGGTGATCGCGTGCCCGCTGGAGCCGGGTCTTCTTTTTTTTTTTTGTTGACAGGAGTGAAACTCGTGTGGTCGTCTGCTGCAATAGCCCGTCCATGACAAGGATCGACGAGTTGTGCGTTCCGAGATGTCGTTCTGCACACCACTGTTGTACTGCGCCGTTATTTGTCGGTTTGTGGCCCGCCGGTTAGCTTGCACGATTCTTGCCATTCTCTTTAGACCTCTCATTAATTAGCTGTTTTCACCCACAGGACTGCCTCTGACTGGATGTTTTTTGTTTGTTGCACCATTCTCGGTAAACCCTAGACACTGTCGTGCGTGATAAATTCCAGGAGGGTGGACGTTTCTGAGATGCTGGATCCGGTGAGCCTTGCAGCAACGATCATACTACGCTCCATGTTGCTTAGGTCACTAGTTTTGCCCATTCTAACATTCAGTCGAACAGTAACTGAATGCCCTGATGCCCGTCTGCCTGCTTTATATAGCAAGCCATGGCCACGTGACTCACTGTCTGTAGGAGCGATCCATTTTTGTGAACCGGGTGGCGTACCTAATAAACTGATTGGCTATATTCCTTGTTGTAACTCATGGAACGACTGATCGGGAATTCAAACGCGTCATGTGTATTACCTGGCTCAGTCTCTCTCTGTCTGTCTGTGTCTCTGTTTGTTGTTAGGCCTCCTCAACGGGCGTCTACTGGTGAGAAGTCGTCTGGGAGTGACGAGGAGAACGAGTACATGAGCCCCACCTCTCTCCCTGCAGGAGGACCCTCCTGGGCCATGGCGGGGGCTATTGTGCCACCACCGCCCCAAACCACTAACCACGACTCACGGTGAGCACTCAAGACCGTCACTATGAGGTGGCCCAGTAGATTATGATTGTACCATCCTAGATGTATGTATTTCCTGAATGGTTTAAATCTATGATCAGTACAGGGTCATGACTACTGTTTTTCTGATGCCCCTCCCTCTGCCCGTCATCTCTCCCGCTCTCTTTCTCCATCCCTGCCTCTCTCTCTCTCCCCCCCTCCTCTCATAGAACTGTGGTGTGTGATGTGGACTGTGAGGACCCTCAGGTGTATGAGTCCATGTGTAACATCAAGGCCCAGGCTAGTGCTGCTGAGCCTCTGCCCGCCCTGTCCCTGCCACAGCCGCCCCCAGAGTCCGGTACATAGAGATTCATTAAGGATCTCTATTCTTACCTTTCTGATGGCTCATGAAGTTCCATAAGTCATACCTTTGTACAATCAGAAAACCATCATCCAACTTGGGCTTGAATCACAATCTATTTATTTGCTACTATACCTGGCCAGAAACGTACTATCTCAATGAGTGTGGCCAGTGGCCACGATCGGATTACAGTTCATTTTGATCCCCACCATTGATAGGGTTATCTGTTAAGCCAGTTATCATGTATCTCAGCACATAGAAAATGTATATTCTGTATTCGGGGTATTAAAATCACTATCTTTCTTTTTTTAACCCTTTAATTCTCTTGTTTCCCTCCAGACTACCTAATTCCGCCCCCTGCGGTTCCCCTGCACCGTGCGGTAGAGGAGATCGAGGCAAAGGATCTGTATGAGTATGACTACCCCCGACCCCAGGCTCCCCCGGCCCCCGCCAGGCGCACCCTCTCTGATGTCACCGGCACCTCGGCCGCCTTCAGCTGCCTCACCATGGACAGCCCGTCTACCATGGATGCCTGTATGTAGCTTAGCATTAGTGTTTTCAGTCCTTTTACTCTCTTGCTTTATCATGTTAACAGAGTTATAGTTATCAAACACCATCTCATGAACATGTTCTCTCCTCTCTCTCAGCTATGTTTGCATCAGGTCAGGACCCCGAGCGCCCCCCTAAGCCCCTCCCCCGCAGGGTCAACTCAGACCGGCAGCCCTGCCCCCTCACCCCAGAGGCCCTGCCTGCTGCTGCCAGTCCATCAGCGGGCTCCCGAGGAGCGTCTGGAGGGTCCGCTCCTGTTCCTGGCGCGGAGCTACCCATCAACGGGGAGATAGAACGGCTGATGAGCCAGGGCTATTCGTTCCAGGACATCCAGAAGGCCCTGATGATCGCCCAGAACAACCTGGAGACGGCCAAGAACATCCTGCGCGAGTTTGTCTCCATCCCCTCCACGGCCCACATCCTCACGTAGCAGCCGCAGCATCACACACTATATCCTTTACCCACTGTGCCATAATGGATAGCATTTCTACTGCGCTAGTTGTGACAGGTCTGGAAGCGCTGTATATTGTAAGGGGAGGAGGACTCACCTTGGTCCCATGCACAGGCATCTAGTGAGATCATCTAAAGGGTGAGGGAGAATGCTTCATGTGGCCTCTGTACGGCCAAGCCTTTGAACCTCACATGGTCGTTTGTGCTTGCCTCCAGTCTTGTGTGGCTCTAAGCATTTCCTTGTTTCTGGGTACAGCGTAAAGTAAGTCTAACTTTACACTGTGCTTAGGCTGCAATGTCTCGCAAGGAATAGTTTGGGACTTATTGTGCTGTCGTCGGGGCATACTTAACTCATGATTCCCCCTCCCTCGTACATTAATTTTGTAGCTAAATACATCAGGTGGAGACAAAAGCATTTAATTCTGTGGTTTGTGCTAAAGCTAACGAATGTGAATCTTGAAGTTGCATTGCAGTATTACAGGGCTCCATGTCATACATTTCACTGTATTGTAGTAAATGAAGTAATGATTTTTAAAAGTAAGCATAACTCCAAATTGCTTTAGTTCCTGGTTTATTGATGGTCTTATAATATACAACAGTCTGAATGATGTGTCTGTAATCTTGGAATGTACAGTAAACGTATTCAATGTAGTGCTAACATTGACGGATTAACTAACGTGTAACATTTATCATACACTACCGGTCAAAAGTTTTAGAACACCTACTCATTCAAGGGTTTTTCTTTATTCTTTACTATTTTCTACATTGTAGAATAACAGTGAAGACATCAAAACTATGAAATAACACATATGGAATCATGTAGTAACCAAAAAAGTGTTAAACAAATCAAAATATATTTTATATTTGAGATTCTTTAAATAGGGAGGGGGCGGGGGGGCAATGCAAATAGTCTGGATAGCCATTTGATTAGATGTTCAGGAGTCTTATGGCTTGGGGGTAGAAGCTGTTTAGAAGCCTCTTGGACCTAGACTTGGTGCTCTGGTACCGCTTGCCGTGCGGTAGCAGAGAGAACAGTCTATGACTAGGGTGGCTGGAGTCTTTGACACTTTTTAGGGCCTTCCTCTGACTCCTTGATGACAGCTTTGCACACACTTGGCATTCTCTCAACCAGCTTCACCTGGAAAGCTTTTCCAACAGTCTTTAAGGAGTTCCCATATATGCTGAGCATTTGTTGGCTGCTTTTCCTTCACTCTGCGGTCCGACTCATCCCAAACCATATCAATTGGGTTGAGGTCGGGTGATTGTGGAGGCCAGGTAATCTGATGCAGCACTCCATCACTCTCCTTCTTGGTCAAATAGCCCTTACACAGCCTGGAGGTGTGTTGGGTCATTGTCCTGTTGAAAAACAAATGATAGTCCCACTAAGCCCAAACCAGATGGGATGGTGTATCGCTGCAGAATGCTGTGGTAGCCATGCTGGTTAAGTGTGCCTTGAATTCTAAATAAATCACAGACAGTGTCACCAGCAAAGCACCCCCACACCATAACACCACCTCCTCCATGCTTTACGGTGGGAACTACACATGCAGAGATCATCCGTTCACCCACACTGCGTCTCACAAAGACAAAGCGGTTGGAACCAAAAATTGCAAATTTGGACTCCAGACCGAAGGACAAATTTCCACTGGTCTAATGTCCATTGCTCGTGTTTCTTGGCCCAAGCAAGTCTCTTCTTCTTATTGGTGTCCTTTAGTAGCTGATTCACGCAGTCTCCTCTGAACAGTTGACGTTGAGATGTGTCTGTTACTTGAACTCTGAAGCATTTATTTGGGATGCAATTTCTGAGGCTGGTAACTCTAATGACCTTATCCTCTGCAGCAGAGGTAACTCTGGGTCTTCCATTCCTGTGGCGGTCCTCATGAGAGCCAGTTTCATCATAGCGCTTGATGGTTTTTGCGACTGCACTTGAAGAAACTTCAAGTTCTTTAATGTTCCGTATTGACTGACCTTCATATCTTAAAGAAATGATGGACTGTCATTTCTCTTTTGCTTATTTGAGCTGTTCTTGCCATAATATGGACTTGGTCTTTTACCAAATAGGGCTGTCTTCTGTATACCTCCCCTACCTTGTCACAACACAACTGATTGGCTCAAACGCATAAAGAGGGAAAGAAATTCCACAAATTAACTTTTAAGAAGGCACACTTGTTAATTGAAATGCATTCCAGGTGACTACCTCATGAAGCTGGTTGAGAGAATGCCAAGAGTGCGCAAAGCTGTCATCTAGGCAAAGGGTGGCTATTTGAAGAATATAAAATATATTTTGATTTGCTTAACACTTTTTTGGTTACGACATGATTCCATACGTGTTATTTCATAGTTTTATAATAATAATAATATGCCATTTAGCAGACGCTTTTATCCAAAGCGACTTACAGTCATGCGTGCATACATTTAATTTTTTTGTGTATGGGTGGTCCCGGGGATCGAACCCACTACCTTGGCGTTACAAGCGCCGTGCTCTACCAGCTGAGCTGCAGAGGACCACAGTGATGTCTTCACTATTAGTGATGTCTTCACTATTATTCTACAATGTAGAAAATAGTAAAAATAAAGAAAAACCCTTGAATGAGTAGGTGTTATAACTTTTGACCGGTAGTGTATATTTGTAATTATTTTTTATAATTGTTTTAATGCCACCAGTGGTAGTGGTTTCACGGTTAAGCCTTATTGTTAATTCTGTGAATAGCTTATATATTTTAAAGTGGCAGTATCCTTTTTTAATGTCATACTTAAAAATTAAGGGAGTATATGTGCCCTATCAGAATTTTGCTAGCCTAATCCATGTGCAATTGGACTGCTGCTTGTAAGGGTTTTACAATTTTTCGTATCCATACTATTCATTTTCCAGACAATAGCATATTAATTGGGCAGAGAAGACAAAGTGATCCAAGTCATATATACACTCCTTGATATTTAGTGAAATGAAGTACTTAATTGGCACTACCTCATAGACTTGCTTTGCTGCCTCTTCTTGTACAACGTTCTTGATACGGTACAAACAGACCATGGCCCCATCGTAAGGTGGCTCAATATTTGAGTTTTGAACTTTGTTAATGCATTTTCTTTGTACCTACCTTGATTAGCAGTCTTTTTTCCCAGGGATGTGGCTTCGACACATTATTGAGAATGTGTTAATATATGAGTAATTACATTCATTTCCTTAGAATTTGAAACCCAGTTGAACAGAGTGAGTTTTTGTCATTGTCCTCTTGACTCGGGTACACAACAGAAACTGAACAATGTGTAGTGATATGCCAAGGTTGTATGGGGACTCACACTCCAGAAATGTTAGTTGTAAATGTGTTGGATTTAAAGCCAAAAGCATTTAAATACAGGTTTAAATCGCATATTAGTAGTAGATACTTGTAAGGTCATTGTAAAGGATGACCATGATATTTCTGCATCGGTTTGTTTCTCTTGATCTCAATACGGTTTTAACTTCTTTCAAATTGTGATGTACGTTGATTGCAATTCCTTGATCATGAACTTAAGTGCCACTCCTTGTAAAATAATTAGTGAGAATTGACTTGACATTTTTCAAAGTAGTGCTTTGTAAGCCCTCTGCTTTCCACTGTGTCGCTCATATGTGGATTTACCACAAGAGGGCACTCTGTCATTAGATTTTTATTTTATTTATTTCACCTTTATTTAACCAGGTAAACCAGTTGAGAACAAGTTCTCATTTACAACTGCGACCTGGCCAAGATAAAGCAAAGCAGTGCGATTAAAAACAACAACACAGAGTTACATATGGGGTAAAATAGATAGAACCCAGACCCCACGCACAGTGCTCAATAGCTGCAGATTTTACTGGTATACTGTAGCACAGTTGGTACTTGTCATTCAATCTAAGATCCAATGTGAAAATGTATGGTATAACTCATTGTTCGCCTAACAGTTACATACGAAGAGAAAACAACACAAAATAGCTTTTTTCATTGCCTTGTTATTGCATGTGTAGATAAAATATTTTATTTATTGATTTTAATATACTCAGCATTCATTATGTTGCCATGTGTTCATGCCTCAGCCATTAAAGATTTTAAAATAAACAATATTTTCTTTAAAATTTGATGATTGATATATTTTATTGAAAAAGTTATACATAATATTGTAGTTCTGGAAAAATATGGTCTGTTGATAATGTAGCTCCGGAAAATAACTGTTTCCAATTTGGTAACAGTAAGGGCATTCAAACGCAGATGAAATTTGCAGTTTCAACATGTCTAGACTATTGTGTTGAACCTCCCCCTCCTCTCACCAAGCATGCTCTCTATGGAAATCTGGAGCTACTGTACTACTCACTCCAGCATACAGCATAACAGTGGTTAGAGGGGAGAATTCTCCCCTTTCCCCCGTCGATCACATTCTGGGTCTCTGATATAGACCATACTGAGGCGTGTAGTCAGTCATAATAGATTTTGGCTGTTGTGAATTTAATGTATTTTCAGTCGTGCCTTAGCCACTGAAATGCACTCATAGTACGTTTTCAATTCTCTGCTATAAACTTTTCTTTAAATATTTTCTGTAAAGATGACAATGAAAAAGAGACATCAAATGTAACATTTTTTTATTTGGCATTTTCTTGCAAAAAAGATTTGTAAAAAATGCAAACATCAAATCACAAGAACTGCACTTAATTTAAACACATTTGCAAAATCAGAACATGACAAAACAATGATGAACTGTGCAGGTCCAAACATTCTTGTCCACCGGTAGCTGTTCCAGATAATCATAAACATAACATATCATTCAAAGAAAGAGTTTGGGACGGGAGGAAGCAGGTTTAACTTGATATTTTCTGAGCTAACTGCATAACATACTGTTGGTTGTGGCTAACAGTGAACCTTTTTTACATCATGTAGGCCAGTCACCCACAAGCTTTTCCTTCCCCTGTGTTGGGATCTGTCTTTGGGTGACATAAATGAATGAAACTCAAACACTCCTATGTCCAGACCTCTTCCTTCCATAAGCATCAAAACACTACACTATAACACAACTAAACCAGACTGAACAAAAAAGGCACACAGTTGAGGGGCAGTTTCTTTTCTTGAGTCATACTACCAAAAGTCCACTATCGGCAGTCCTATGGCAGGATGTAAGCAGGCTGAACAAAATGTATTACATTTCAACTGAACACTTACAATGACCACTAAAATATTACCTTGAAGGCAATATTTGGATCACAACATACACTATTTGTACAAATTGAACTCTCCCCGTTTGAGTACAATATCAAAATCATAATACCTTTTAGTAACATATCACCATTCCGTAAATGATACAAATCATAGCAATAGCTTCTTCTTCCCTGCACACAACTTACAGTAAGCATCCAAAATGGATCACACACAAAATGACCTTCAGGTCTGCTTGGTGCTCACCCAAACACAAAGAAATACACAGAGCAAATAAGAAAAAAGAAACAATTCAGTGTATTTTACATTTTCAAAATGAGACGACAAATTTCCACAGGCACTGCAGATTATAATATAGTAGGCCGTTTGAAAAATACAATTGAAGGCCAGTACAAGAGCTTGACAGTAGTTCACAAGAGAATGACTCATCCGGACGGCGAGTTTTGATGATTAAATTTAAACGCCTGTTGGCATGGCGTTTCTCCATTTACATAAAGGTGGAAAAGCATTGGGCCACTTATGCTTATCTAACATGACAAGCTCACTGGTTCCCTGATTTACTTTAGGCTTTCTCTCCTCTTCAGATAGGCAGCTCCATAACTTATGTCTTATGATGGAGTATAGTTGTCAAAGCTTTTAGTGAGCCAATATAGTACTGTACACACACCCACAACATGTCACATTTTGTATGTCTCTCTACACATTACAATGGGTAATTTGTCCAATGTCAACAGATTAGCATATTATGAATATCATATTGATATCATGAATGATAAATGGATCAAAAAGAATAGTGTTATAATTGTGTACAACAGAGCTTTGAAGAATGTAGAGTTGTAGACACAATCTGATTATTCATTGGATCAGGTCTTGAACACCAGTATATTTACTGCATGTTTCCAACAAAAAAAACTAAAAACATAAAAATTGCAACTGGTCCACTGATAGTAGACCATTCACAAAACTAACCAGATTTGCATAAGCTTTGGGAGACAACAGGTCATGTATACCGCCACAGATCACATACTTCTTACATCTGGATGTCCATGTAAGATAAGTAAATGGTGATTAGAGTAGAAGGATTTAGATCCACCTTGCCTCCATGGCAGGGAGTTTCAGTGTGGGGACTTAAAGGGCTATATGTAATATTTTTCCTTTGTAATTTCAGAAAATGTCCTTAATATATGTATAGTAATAGTGGAATGATAGTTTCACAATATTTATTTCAATTTTGTTTACATTCTGCCTACACAAAATTGCATTCTAATGGTGCAGCCTTATTGGCTATCAAAAGACAGACCATCTCTTGTTGTCAAATTGACTGAAGCCAGCAAATCTTGTATTGTCAATTCAACAACGGACCAGTCAATTTGACAATAAGAGATTTTCTGACCCCAGTCAATTTGACAACAAGAGACGGTTCGTTGTTGAATTGTTACATGTAGTACCTTTAAGCTTCCACTGATGCCACTGATAGTGCTCAAGAAGACATAACAATCAGAAAAGAAACTGAGGGCTCTATTCAATCCGCATCACGGAAATGCAGCTTTACAGCGTGATTGTAATTTAAAGGCAATGTTCTCGCTTTAGCGGAGACTGCATTCACGGTAAACGCTGCTTATGTCGGCTCAATCGGAAATTATCTTTAAATGTATATTGTGGAATCTGTAACACTTCAGAGTTACAGATTGAATAGAGTCCTAAGAGGGTGAAGATATGAAGAGAGAACCCTTGGCCTGACTGAGTGACATTTATGGTCAAATCACCTCCATAAGATAATGTAGGAACGCCTAAACAAGGACCATGGATGAATAGCTAAAGCAAAATGACATCATAAACAGATACTACCATGAAGTCTGAAAGGTATGTGTCAAATTATCTTAAATAACGAAATATATATAATATATACACTTTATAAAGTTTATAATGAACAATTAATGAACGTCATCGTACACTTGAAAACAGCAAAAATAAAATAATCTAAAAGGCTTTGGGGAAACGGTACAAAAGAAGAAACAGTAAAACGAAGCAATCAAAACATCCTCCAAACCTCTATCAAACATCTTCAAATCAATGGTGTGTGTTCCTGTGTGGTTTTGGCCAGATATGGGGAATACTGCTGAACACAGGGAAGAAATGTGGGGAAAGTGATTGATTGAGTCCTAATTATATAGTGATTGTGAAAGCTGATTTTTCCAAGGCTTCCAGTAGTCTAGCCTTGGATTGTGGGTGGATGTGGTGGGGTTGCGAAGAGCTTCGGCTGGCCACGTCAGAGCTTGGCCCTCTGCATATGTCACTTCCTCAGCTCCATGTACTTTACTCCAGGGAAAAGCACACACGGAAAGGTATGGGGGAGAAGAGAAAAAACACCAACAAATGTCAATTCAGTGAGCAATACAAGATTCAAGAAATACATTAGACCATTAGTAGGGGTGTAACGATCCATCTACTACATCGATGTATCGATTTATATTCCTATGATCCAACTACATCGATCTGTGCTCGGCGAGTTGGCCTTTTGGACAACATATATCAATCTAACATCGTTTTAAAATGTAATAAATCGATTGTATCGATACTAGGAAATAACCCATTGGATTTAAGCACGTCAGACTTTATATGGATGTTTTTTCTTAGCACTTTTAATGATAAAGGCTTTAAACATTACTCGATTCAGTCTGCCTATCCGTGACGTCATTGCCCCGCGCCAGCAGCAGCGCAAAGGCGCAAAGACAACAAAACATAGCATGGCGGACGACAGAGGAGAAGCCGACGAGCGAGAAATTATCAAGCCACCATTGCGGTCCTTACAAGAAACAGGAATCTAGGAAACTTCACCTGCACTGTCCAGTATCCAGGTATTTATTTCAGTCACACTGGTTGAATTTTTGGCTAAAAGGTTACTGAATCGATTTCAAGTCACTGAATCGTTTCGGATCGTATCGTTCTAAATGAACCAATATCGTCCTTGAATCGTATCGACAACCACGAATCGTGATACAAATCGAATCGTTGTTAAAACGAATCGTTACACCCCTAACCATTAGGCTACTTCTGTTTAGCGAATAGCTTTCGTATTCCATAGTTACCTGGTCACTGGTGCCATTCTTGTCACCGTTGACGCCCTTCAGAAGTCCGGCATCCTCGGTCTTGGTGTTAGTCTTCATCTCCACCACAATGTCATCTTTGTTGGGGTTCTCCTTGGTGCTGGAGATGGAGAGCACAAACTCAGTTTACTCTCAAAAGTCCTCTCCAGTGAGGAAAGTATCACATTCTTAGAGGCAGAAAGACTCATTTATGGATGAACATATAGAATACATTTACCTAACACTTTTTCAAGTGCTCATGGTGGTTTGCTTTGTAATTTACCCTAATACACTACCAATGTGTAGCACCCACCTTCTAGAACTAGACACAAAACCTGGCCCTAGACCAGTTGTTAAAGTGCAATACTCACATCTCCTGCTTGCCAGAGCGGCCACAGGGGATCTTGCCCTTCTTGTGGAGGAAGTAGAGCACACTCCCCAGGATGGCCAGCAGAAGGATACAGAGGATGATGACCACAATGATCACACCATTGCCCTCAGCTATATAGACAGATAGAGAGAGGGGAGGGCAAGCTCAGGTTAATGCTTATACCCGTTCACCGATCCAGTGACTGGGAGAATGGAGAATGATCATGGAGAATCATCCAGACATGATAAGTGTAAACACTTCCTGGTCACCTGTGCTGCCTATACACGTGACCAGTGACCCATGACCCCATGTGAGAGTGCCCTTAGTGTAAATAACAAGTGAAAACATCCCTAGACAGACAACATATACCCAACACATAAGAAGGCCAAAATGACTCGTACAATAACGTTTTCTGATTTGTCTACATCAGTAGTTGTCAAAGCAGTTGTGACAACTTTTTACATCAGCAGTAGTCACAAAGTGGTTACTGTAAATAACCCGGCCATGACCCCAAAGAGCAAGCAGAAGCTAAATCAGAAGCATAGTGGCCAGGGATGGGTGGACCATCCTCTTCTTGCAGTACCAACAAAAATAGATGTAATAGCAGGACAAAACATAGAAAGATGTGGAGGAAAGTAGCCACTAGCCAGTATAGTCCACTCAGTAACACTTGCCACTGTTTTCCAGGGAGTCCTGGGATCCAGGTTATAGAACAGTTGTAGAGTATGGAGCTATTTATTGGTCATGAATTATGGCCAAGTCATAAGAAGCAGATGGGAAACAAATAAAATGTCAATTTCCTGGTTCTCTGACAGAATGGCACAATAGATGTGGTTCATTTGTTGTGTTCGGAACATTGTACAAATTACTGTATGTTCCCTACAGGCTGGTGTGGTTTTTAATGTAAGAGTGGGTTTGAATGTACACATTAACTTCCCAGCTTCAGCTCTCATGCTTTGTGAGTGAGTGCTCCAGACACTGGGCAGAGAGAGATGGGAAATAGCCCTGGCCTGCCCCTGTGACAGAGCCATCAACATTTCAGTGCAATCCTCCCAGGAGGAAATTAGAGTGTGCTACTACCTACCAGAGCAATTAACTCCTATATTTAACCATGTAGTAAGCCCTTGTTAAAAGGGAAACAATTGTCTGGGTATGGGTTTATGAGAATTTCTATTGCAACAGCTCAATAAAACAGTGAGACAGCGCATTAACTTCCCCAATAATAAGTAAATATGCGTGTTTTTGGCACTCGACCACTATAAGTGTTGGCTCTTTCTTTCCTGTTAGATTTTTCTCTTTCACACAGAATTTTAAATGTACCCACAGGCAATGAGCAGAGCCAATCCTCCCGCTCGTTCCAGCGAACACTTTGCCGATATGAAAATCATGAAATATTTAGTTGCCTCGTTGTCTAATCCTTAATTGTCTGGGTTGGTGTGTATTCAGAGAGAATCAAACAAAAGTTGAGAGAAAGCAAATAAAAAAATCTAAAAGTTATTCTCTACTAGGTAAGAGTGATCCAAAGGTCAAGAAGAACAGAAACAGTGTGGGAGCATGGTTCAGTGGTAGTGCTGAAGCCCCTCAAACACATATTGCCCACATAGACTCCCACCCCACACATTAGTGCTGTTTCCTCTCTATACTCTGCACTCCCTCTATCTTCCAACTGTCTAAATAAAAGTGATAAAATACGCAAGGACGGTGCTCCCGTTCTCCTTTAAAAAAGAGAAACAGAGATCAGCAAGAATACAATAATAGCAAGATCGCTGTCTTACCGGGTGAGTAGGGCGCGGTTGAAGTGACCATGGGAACTGTGGACAAGTAAAACAACAATTAAAATGTAAGAGCTTCCCATCACCAAATATATTTCCCCATATATTCTAAATATATGCCCATTAGTGATGCGCGGGTGAGCTGTTTGTTCACCCGCACCAACCCTCAATTGCTAATAAACCATCCGCAACCGCCAGACTGTATGTGATAAAGTGAAAATCTGAGGCCCGCACCCGACCCTAACCTGCATTTTGGTAGGCTATTCGTTAGTCAACTTGTCTATAATTAGATACATGCAGATTCTCTTCTGTCATTACTGCCCTAGAACACTAAATAAACCCTTGCTCACCAGAATGATGTCATAAATCGATAGAATAAATGTTTCAATCTAGTTGACATCGGTAAAGTTGTTTTCTCTCATGCAGTAAAGAGGTTTAGGGACCGGGGAGAAAATGCAAAAAAAACAACAAAAACAACAGGAAAGACTTTCCATGCATTTCCAAATTACACCAGTTTGACCAGTTTTAAGGAAATTAAAGGGTAACTCGCACCCCAATTTCAGCCTTTGCACAACCCTTTAAAATAAACTAAAAATGCATTCAGGTGAGAAGTTGTGGGTGGGGGGAATTGCTCATAAATATTCATTTTGGGAGTGGGTAAACATAGTTGTACTTGATCCCAACACTTTCTCACTAAACCATACTTACCAGAAGTCCACTGGAACGCTTTGATAATAAAATAATGTGCATCGCGAGCAAATACGGCTCTGGACAGTTAGCTCACAGTGGTAAGGTGCCGAGTTCCTGACATCTATTGCCACTTGCGGTGTAAGTTCGAATCCCCCATGTGGGGCAAAACAAATATTTGAAATGTGGACTCATATTTATTGCGGTGTTGGGAAGAAAAGTGCAATCATCACCTTGAAAATTAAGATTAGGGGCTCAATTCAATCCGCATTGCAGTTTTCACGCAATAGCTATTTTTCCAATGGTCAAATTAACTCACAGATTGGTTTTGGGTACTGTATGAAAACCTACAACTACTACCAGGGCGACCCCTTTCACAGGTACGCTTTCACTTTTCAGAATTAGAAGTGTGTGGGCATGGGACAAATATTGTAAATTAAGGATTAGAACTTACAACCATTGAACTATGAGCCAACTGTCTTAGCGGACTGCGCCACCAATCAGTCATAGCGGTTGAGAAAAAATACAGCGAGTTGACATTACCACCATTGTCATCTATTTCTTGTTACGTATGATGGATGTAGCTATGAATATAAACATAGAATCCTCATAGCCTACATGTTTTTTTTCTTTGTAAAAGCACATATACACTACATGACCAAAAAAAGCATGTGGACACCTGAACATCTCATTCCAAAATCATCGGCCATGGAAAGTTTGAAACTCGGTAGTGAGTGTTGCAACCGAGGACAGACGACTTTTACGCGCCACGCACTTCAGTGGTCCCGTTCTGTGAGCTTGTTTATTTATTTATTTAACCTTTATTTAACCAGGTAAACCAGTTGAGAACAAGTTCTCATTTACAACTGCGACCTGGCCAAGATAAAGCAAAGTGTGGCCTACCACTTCGCGGCTGAGCCGTTGTTGCTCCTAGACGTTTCCACTTCGCAATAACAGCACTTACAGTTGCCCGGAGCAGCTCTAGCAGGGCAGAAATTTGACGAACTGACTTGTTGGAAAGGTGGCATCCTATGACAGTGCCACGTTGAAAGTCACTGAGCTCTTCAGTAAGGCCATTCTACTGCCGATGTTTGTCTATGGAGATTGCATGGCTGTATGCTCGATTTTATACACCTGTCAGAAATGGTTGTGGCTGAAATAGACGAATCCACTAAATTGAAGGGGTGTCCCATATTTTTGTATATGTAGTGTATCACTTTTGCAAAGAACTGTCTAAATTAAGACCATCATTTATGTGTTTCAATATAACTAAGCCTAAAACATCTGGTTTCAAATTTAAAAAAGTTTTCTTAATGAAAGTTACTCTTTAAAAGCTGTTAAAACGACCCAACATGTTTTTGATAAGATTTCAGTTCGGCTTGGATGCATATTTTATGTGGTTGAAATACTATCAGCTTTTATGATGCTGATAAAGACAGCACCTTTACAGACAGTCCCTAAATGTGAATTTGTTCTTTCAAGATGCTGAAATAAATAAATCATATTGCTCCACTCCTGTTCCAGAGTCATAATTAGCATTTGGTGTATAATTTTACTGCAAGAAATGCTTAATTCTGCAGGAGTTCATATTTTATTAGGCTATGTGACAGGTTATAGACCTACAGTCAGTGTCCAATATTCCATTTAACCCATCTAAACAGTACAGTTCCTTTGACGTGCCATTTTGAAGTCCCCGTTTTATGACTGTCGAATTTATATAGTGCCTCACAATTATCACACATAACACTGCTATCATCCTCTTTTACCACTCACCAAATCTTTGCCAAACATTAGACTACTGTTCTGGCCCTCTCTTCTATTGATTTTCAACTCTCCTTTTCGCAGCTTTTCTCTTATTGTCAACATTGTCCTTTTTGCCTCAGTGGATCAACGTTAACTTTTTCTGCCCAAGTTCCCAAAAGCATTTGGCAATTGGCCTGTACTTGGCACACTACAGTTAGGCCCTAAAGCTTAGGCTACGCACTAGATAAAAAATAATGAAAGAAAAACCTCAATGTAGCCTATAGATATGAATTGCACAATAATTATACATTTATGGATTTTCTATGCATTGTTTTCTCTTTATTCAACCTGCCTGCCACCCACCCACCCTTCATTCACACAAAGTTTCATGACCCTAAACCCACCCGCCCCGCATATATAACTGCGAGGACTGCGGGTTATGAGTCGCATCACTAATGCCCATACTGTATATTCCTATGTAGTGTATATGGTAGGGTGGCTTACTGGCTCTGATGCTGAAGGACTTTGTCTCTGTGCCAATATCGTTGGTGGAGTTACAGAAGGCTGTGATGTCAGAGGTCACTTTGACAGACACCACGCTGATAGTGCTGTGCTCCGTGGCTCTGGTCAGCACCTCGCGCCAGCTCTGTTAACACACAGCACACACACACTAAAGTCATGTCATCAGTCACACCAATGTGCATCGCAACAGACATACCCAAGAAAATTACATAGCAATTTTTTATTTATTTAATTCATGCAATGTAAATATGCCCACATATGTAAACAGCCCAGTGCGCTGCCAAGCCCTGTGTTACCTGGCTGCCAGTCACGGTCCAAGAGATGGTGGGAAGGGGGTGTGCATGTGCCTCACAGCTCAGGTTCACCCACTTCCCAGCTCCCTCATCCATTTCAACCTCCCTGTCAGCATCCTTCATCTGGGGAGCACCTGGAGACGGGTTACAAACACATATACATTACAGACTCCAGTAAAAGACAGTTTTTGAGGTATGAAAACATCTGATCTGACAAACTCAATCCATTGTTTCTGGTAGAACACCCCACATACAACTAATCACCAAGTAGTGAAAGTGCTGAGCTAATGCAAAAATGTTCCCCAGAAATGGATTGTATGTTACAGAGAGTACATGTGGTGGTGTGGTGACTCACCCTGGACGATGATGTGGACTGAGCCAGAGGTGTGCAGTCCAGGCAGGGAAGGAACAGTCACCTCACACACATACTCTCCTGCCGTGTCATAGGTGGCATCCTGCAGGAACAGCATGTGGCCTGTGCCAACCTGCTGCCCATTCTACACAAAGACAAAAAATATACAGACAAACATAAGACATATAAGAGGTAGAGTAATGGTCATCTCTTATGTCACTCTTATAACCGTGTTGCATTTAAAGCACTAAGTTAGTGCTTATTACGGGGTATACTGTACCTTGAACCAGACAGTGGCGGTTTCCAGGGAAGACAGAGCGTTGCAAGTAGCAGTCAGACTCTCTCCTTTTAACAAGATCTCTGAGTCTTTGGGCACCACAACAGCTGGGTCCAGATCTGGAGAGAGTAGACATGATGTGAGGACAAGACATTGCTAAGTACCATGCTGGTGTGTGGTCCATGCAACCTTATTCCAATCAAATGCCTTCTCAATTTGAATTACATCACTGCAAATCATGTTTATCGACGGTGACAATGTTGACTTCAATTAAATTATCTTAATGAGTAGTGAAGTGATGCAGTGACAGTGAGCGAGTGGCACACAACTGCAGAGCTGTCTATCTCGGTAATCAAAGGGCCATGAGTAAAAATAATTGATTGCGTGAAACTCAATCAAGCAACTAATTCAACCACTTCCAGTCCAAACCAACAGAGCATTAAAAAATACATGTGTACGTGTGCGTGCACATGTTTCAGTGTGTGTGTATGTGTGTGTTAGCTAACTTACAGTGGATAGTGAGCTGCATGTCTCCCGTGACCTCCTCGTAGGTGTCCAGGTCCAGAGAACGGCACTGGTAGACCCCGCTGTTCCCACGGATCACCTCCCTCAGCACCAAAGTGTCATCGCTGGCCTCTAGCACCGTCTCCTGCTCCTGAGAGGGGCAACATCAGGTTTACACTGTCATATTAATGGATCTACATTTTGGCTACTTTTAGGGAATGGCAATCTTTGGCAAACATAGATTTTGGGTTGAATTATCCCTTTAAGTCACACCCAAACAACAGCTAAACTAGTCTGGTTAACGTGAGCTATTTAAAACGTTTAAAATGTTCCTGTGACCCTCTTAATCAGTGGTTCCAAAACTGTGGGTCGGGACCCACTTGTGGGTCACAGCAGGGGTCCAGGTGGGTCGCAGGATGACATTTCTTGTGCATTGCTGCCAAGATGAGGACCTAAAATGTTCTTGCCCAGGACCCGGACAGAATTCAGCAGTGCAGACGACCGACCATGCCCATTGCCACACCCAGCGATGGGCAAAATTTACAAAATACAATTACAAAATACCATAAAGATCAATGTATCAAAAACTACAAAATACTTTGAAATGTATTGAATTAAAATACATGTATTTAGTATTTTAAAATACAGAAATAAATGTGCAAGTAGCCGGCCCGAACAGCAACAACATTTTCAGTAACGGTTACAGAAACGTTTTACTTTCTATGACTGTGATATGTTGTTGTTAATCTACACTACATGACCAAAAGTATGTGGACACCTGCTCATCGAACATCTCATTCCAAAATCATGGGCATTAATATGGAGTTGGTCCCCCCTTTGCGGACAGCCTCCAGTCTTCTAGGAAGGCTTTCCACTAGATGTTGGAACAGGCATCCGCCAAACCCAGATTCGTCCGTCGGACTGCCAGATGGTGAAGCGTGATTCATCACTCCAGAGAACGTGTTTCCACTGCTCCAGAGTCCATGGCAAGCTTTACACCACTCCTTAGGCTTGTGTGCGGCTGCTCGGCCATGGAAACTAATTTCATAAAGCTCCCGACAAAAAGTTATTGTGCTGACGTTGCTTCCAGAGGCAGTTTGGAACTCGGTAATGAGTGTTGCAACTGAGGACAGACGATTTTTATGTGGCTATCCTAAAGAACTACAAATGCCATGATGATCTGGACGAGACTGCCAAATCGAGGCAAAGGTAAGAATATCTGAATTAACTATCTAATGTTAGCTAAATTTAGTAATTAATAAATTGGCAACATTTCATCAAACTGACAATTCTTTGAACTGTCTTGTGCAAGTTTTAAATTGACACAATATCCTATGGGAAAAATGAATGGTGGAAAAACGATTGGAACCATTTCCCTGTTTGACCGCTAGGTTTTATGGGTATTATGACACCTCCACTGTGGGGCTCTATGGGGTGACGTCAGAGTTGGGATGTTCCAAGGATCCCATTTAGACTTTTCTGTAACCCGACTTCCGCTTTTGGACGTTAACAAGGTGAATGTGGGGTGTCCTACTCAGACGTTTCTTTTACGCCTGCTATGTTAGGTTAGGGAACCCCTGCTCTGAATGACCAAACCATGCCTCTATCCACATCCCAGTCTTAAGACCCAACAGGGGAAACCCCAAATGTGTTATTGTGGTCAGTTGAACATACTGTAGGTATTGTGTGTGAGACATGGGAATGAGAACTATCCCATCCTGAGGATTTTGATCTCCAGTCAGTCACAGACCTTGCCTGCCGGGGTCCAAAGATCTCTCCCAGAGCCACAGGGTCAAACATGATGCGGTCCCGTTCACAAGGCCTACACTTCTACTCCGAGGCCTGAGTCTGAATATCAAAAACATTCTCCAGATGTCTCCTGCGTGTCACGTTTTTCTCCCCCGTTTTATGGTTATCTGGACTCAATAGGCAGACGCAGAAAAGGGGGCCATTCTTACTTGTTCTCGGTTGAAAGTGAAGGGCGGCGGGGGGTTGCCATCGCCTTGGCAACGAAGCTCCACAGTGTCCCCCTCTTTGACCAGGCCCTGGGGAGATTCCTTCCACAGCTCGATGATGGTTGTGGGGACTGCGGGACAAAAAACATACATCAACGGGGCTAAGATGGTGGGTTTGGATTAGATTAGTTGGTTTACTACTTTGACAACCCAGAAGCTGTTGACTTGTTTTAGATAGGCTGATATAATTTCATAGGCTTTAACTTGAGTGTTTTAGAGAGAAACACCAGTGACCACCCTACTAGTTGATAGGGATAGTCATAAAAACAACCGGAGAGCACCTTTAGCACAACGAGGTAGTATTAGCTCTAGTTAGCATTACATTCAATTGAACTCAATAATGCTCAAATTATTAGCATGCTGAGTCAACATACAGTGAGGGAAAAAAAGTATTTGATCCCCAGCTGATTTTGTACGTTTGCCCACTGACAAAATGATCAGTCTATTATTTTAATGGTAGGTTTATTTGAACAGTGAGAGACAGAATAACAACAAAAAAATCCAGAAAAACACATGTACATTTTTTTATAAATTGATTTGTATTTTAATGAGGGAAATAAGTGTTTGACCCCCTCTCAATCAGAAAGATTTCTGGCTCCCAGGTGTCTTTTATACAGGTAACGAGCTGAGATTAGGAGCACACTCTTAAAGGGAGTGCTCCTAATCTCAGTTTGTTACCTGTATAAAAGACACCTGTCCACAGAAGCAATCAATCAATCAGATTCCAAACTCTCCACCATGGCCAAGACCAAAGAGCTCTCTAAGGATGTCAGGGACAAGATTGTAGATCTACACAAGGCTGGAATGGGCTACAAGACCATCGCCAAGCAGCTTGGTGAGAAGGTGACAACAGTTGGTGCGATTATTCGCAAATGGAAGAAACACAAAATAACTGTAAATCTCCCTCGGCCTGGGGCTCCATGCAAGATCTCACCTCGTGGAGTTGCAATGATCATGAGAATGGTGAGGAATCAGCCCAGAACTACACGGGAGGATTTTGTCAATGATCTCAAGGCAGCTGGGACCATAGTCACCAAGAAAACAATTGGTAACACACTACGCCGTGAAGGACTGAAATCCTGCAGCGCCTGCAAGGTCCCCCTGCTCAAGAAAGCACATATACAGGCCCGTCTGAAGTTTGCCAATGAACATCTGAATGATTCAGAGAACTGGGTGAAAGTGTTGTGGTCAGATGAGACCAAAATGGAGCTCTTTGGCATCAACTCAACTCGCCGTGTTTGGAGGAGGAGGAATGCTGCCTATGACCCCAAGAACACCATCCCCACCGTCAAACATGGAGGTGGAAACTTTGGGGGTGTTTTTCTGCTAAGGGGACAGGACAACTTCACTGCATCAAAGGGACGATGGACGGGCCATGTACCGTCAAATCTTGGGTGAGAACCTCCTTCCCTCAGCCAGGGCATTGAAAATGGGTCGTGGATGGGTATTCCAGCATGACAATGACCCAAAACACACGGCCAAGGCAACAAAGGAGTGGCTCAAGAAGAAGCACATTAAGGTCCTGGAGTGGCCTAGCCAGTCTCCAGACCTTAATCCCATAGAAAATCTGTGGAGGGAGCTGAAGGTTCGAGTTGCCAAACGTCAGGCTCGAAACCTTAATGACTTGGAGAAGATCTGCAAAGAGGAGTGGGACAAAATCCCTACTGAGATGTGTGCAAACCTGGTGGCCAACTACAAGAAACGTCTGACCTCTGTGATTGCCAACAAGGGTTTTGCCACCAAGAACTAAGTCATGTTTTGCAGAGGGGTCAAATACTTATTTCCCTCATTAAAATGCAAATCAATTTATAACATTTTGTGTTTTTCTGGATTTTTTTGTTGTTATTCTGTCTCTCACTGTTTAAATAAACCTACCATTAAAATTATAGACTGATCATGTCTTTGTCAGTGGGAAAACGTACAAAATCAGCAGGGGATCAAATACTTTTTTCCCTCACTGTAAATTGTGCGGTTAGCGATAGCATGTCTGGGGTATATGACAGCTGGTTGGGTCCTTACAGTGCACAGTGATGTTGATGCCCTTGGACTTCGCCGTCCTCATGCCTCCTGGAACGTAGTAGCTGACCTCACAAGAGAACAGGGCGTCCTTGTCCTCCTTGGCCACTTTGTACTGCAGCTCACTCTGGACCGTGTAGAAGCCACTGGACTCACGGGTCACTAGTGTTACCACATTGATCTCTGGGAGGGGTGAGAAAAACACTGATTTAGCTACTATCACAGGCTGGTAGATAGATGACATTCGGAAACACTTCTTCATGTATTGACAACATGTATTTCAGTGACAAAACAAGAGAATTGCTTGACTAGTTTTGCTCAAATAGTCCATTGGTATTCCTGCTACTCACGGCCATGTGTTGGGGTCAGTGGGCTGCTGTCACGGTACCAGGTGATGTTGGGTCTGGGGAAGCCGTTCCTGGCCTCACACGATGCAATCTGTATAGAGAGAATAAGATGTCTTAAAGCGTTTTATAATGTTCAATGTTGCTTTTATGGACTGAGAGATAAAGTGAGATGTACTCAAGTGGACTGCTTAGTGCCTACCCTTGATGGCAGCTCATTGGTCACAGAGATTCCAGCATGGACACCTTCAATTACTGGGGCCTCTGGAGGATCTGGAATAAAATATCAAATAACATTATCAATGCATAGACACATTCTATCATTTTTTTCACCTTTATTTAACCAGGTAAGCCAGTTGAGAACAAGTTCTCATTTACAACTGCGACCTGGCACAAGACCACTGAAACACATGGTCATGGGCAGAGTATGTGCCCATACTGTGCTGTACCCAAATCCTCAATCATTTGGATAACAAGGAACGAACACAGAGAGGAGTTGGATCAAGCACAAACAGATCTGGAGTCCAATGTCTTACCGAACACTCTGATGTGGGTCTTGCCTTCTCCGTTGCCTGCGGCCATGCCGTTGACCTGGCAGAAGAACTCCCTCTCGTCAGTCAGCTGGACATCCTGGATGGTAAGCAGCACGCCCTCCTGGTCCCCGATGTCGGACACCGTGATACGGCCCGTGAAGTCTGTACCGTCGTCCACTATCTGCTGCGTGTTGTCACCGTAGTAGATCCGCTCCCGGCTACTGCTACCAGGATTCCTCTGTAGGGAAGGAATGAGCCAGAAGATGAACTAGGTTGAATGTGAAAAATACAGTGTACCTAGAAATAAATTGGTGTGTGTATGTGTGTCAGAGCATGTGAGCGGTGTTTCCAACCGCTCTGCTAAAAACCGCTCTGAGGTCACTGGAAAAAAACAGCCGCTCCAAATTTTCTCCATTCATTAAAATCACAATTTAACCAACACCCATCTATTTTTGTGACAACCTGAACCTACCATTTGGTTTTGAAGTATTGAAACCAAACCATATGGATTTGAATGAAAAGTATTTGAATAAACATGAAAAGGTGAATGTAAGAAGCGCACATCATTTCAAATAGGCTACATGTCATCTTAAACACTCTAAATAGGTCAGGAGCCAGACAGGGAGCCTAAGAAGGAACAAAAATGAATTATTTAGGCTATATTATTTATATTATTTCAAGGCTAAAGCCTACAAAGAAATACATTGTGAAGCATTTGGGAGTGTAACACACTAGGTTAGTAGGGACATAAAGGGCTCAGCATTTAAACATTTTGTTGTATTAAATCATTATAGTCTATAAATTGGGCATATAGGCTGTGACTTACTTAGAATAAATACAAATGAAACAAAAAATTACTTATTAGTGCCTTTGAATTCATTTTTAGAATGAATGCGATGGTGCCTGGAGAGCAGGCCAGCAGCGAAGAATATCCTCTCCTCACCTCACTGGGGATGCTAAACACCCTTTTGGCCACTCTTGCCAGGCTAGGCAGATATGCAGAGTTGTTTTTTTTATTTTTCTATATTTTAGGCAAAATAACCCAATCAAAACGGAAAGCTGCTTGAACATGGCCAGGCCTAGATAATAGAACAAAAATGAACAAAACATTTAAGAGATCTGATTATTTGTTTATAAATACTTTGCTACAATGACACACTTAGTTATCTACCCACCTCGTTCCTTTCTTTTAGCATGCGCTCGTAGTAGGTACACCATCATGCTTTCGGGATATGTATCTTTTCAGATTCCACAATGATTCTTTAGTTGTGAACACTACATCACCACACTCCCTCTCCTGCTCTTGGTCCTCATCATTGTAAGTCACCTTGATTTTGCACCTGTGTGTTTTATCAGTTTTATGAAAATATTTAGCGAACTCCATGACAGTAGCTAAAGCAAGGGGCTATAGCAGCACATAAGTAGACTACAAATGCATGCTGGGCCGGGCATGCCCTGAGCTGGTGAAGTGAGCACTACTGGAGCGCTACTGGAACCAAATTGGAGCGGTGAGAAGGCCTTTGGGAATCTTGCTCTGCGCGCCAGTCAAATTGGGCACGCTCCGCTCCAGCTCCACTCACATACTCTGATGTGTGTATGAGAGAGAGAGAAAGAGACAGTGTGTGGCTGGGTGAGTCAGGAGGGGGTGCAGAAAATGGTCCAGAAGTGCTCACCACAAACCACTGGATCATGACTGCTCTGGGCTGCTCACTGAAGACGTACTGGCAGGGTATGTCTGCTAAGTCGCCCAGGTACACCTCCACATTCTCCTCCATGGTCATGTCCACCTTGGCCCAGGCTGCAAAGAACAAACACAACACCATCATCAATGTGTTGTCACACCAAGGACCACAACAACATGCCTGGCAGGCCAAAAATAGGCTTTGCATTTTCATGTTTTCAAAAGACAATCTTTAATTCATTAACCCCTATTGTGCCAGTGTTATAATGACATACAGGCACAGTGTGAGAGCCAGCATGTTCACTCTACTGCAAACTGATGGATCTTCTATGGATCAGTGGGACCAGTGTTTTGACCGCTCTAACGGTATGAGAACTAGACACTGTGGCTGGCTGGCAGAGGGGAGAGATGTTACAATGTGTGGAATGTGTGAAGCAGGGCCCACCCTGGTCCCTCCAGGAGCACTGGGCAGTGTCCAGCTCTTCAGCGTGTCACCCGCCAGCCGCCAGCACAGAGAAAAGGCTTGTTTTACACACAGACTGAAGAATTACTGCAGTGTTCCCTATTAACCCGTGACTGAGCCAACAAACTAGCCTAAAACTGTCCCCTCAGCATCGTCATGAGAACCACCAGACACAAGACAGAGCCTGTTTGATGTATAACAGCATTATAAAAACAACTGTTTTTATAGGATGTGGAATCTAGCACTATTCTTGGAAGATATGTCTAGACTTTAGGGTCACACAGCTACCTATAACCAAACAATTGAAAGTTATATAGGTTGCTATTGCAGGGTTTTGTAATTTTAGGTAACAATCAAATACGCAATAGTAATTGAATTGGATTATAATCATGTTTCACACTCATGTCTGGTTTGAAGGTCACTTTCCCAAGATTCGCTGGCAATGTTGTTCTCAAGCCTCTTCCCACTACATTGGAGCTGAGCCACACAGACAGTCTCTGAGACAGTCTTACAGTACGTGTTGTTTTTGTTTACCACATTGTTCTTGTGTACTCCAGTAGGTAGCTTCCACCCAGATCTCTATCTATAGTAATACCCTGTCTGAGCCAGACAGAAGGAGACATGCCCAAATTAAGCCTCCCATTCATGGTGGAGAGATACTTGCTCTCCAATCTCCAATCTCCAACACACGTATAAATATTGTTCTCTTCTCCCTCTCTACCCCGCACATCCCCCTCTTTCTGGCTCAAAGACAGTCTGTTCTTCTCCCCTCGTCCCACCCTTCCATCTATCTAGCCTGATCCTAGTCCACTGGGGCCATAATGACCCCCCTCCTATCTACACCCACCCTTCTTCTTTTTGTCTCACTCCAGCTCAACCCCCCCCCCCCCCCCCCCCCCCCCCCCTCGCTGTCTACCCCTATCTCACCCCAACCCCTCTCTCTCTCTCTCTCTCTAGCCTCCATCTTCACCAGCATGGAGAGAAGTAGAGAGACTTGAGAGAGGCTTCCTTCTTAATCGGAAGCATGTGGGAGGCGGGGGCTGGTGCTGGTAGGGAGCCGCGGAGATATTAATGGGTTTCCTCCATGTTGGCAGAAGGAGCCCTGACTGGGTGGAGGGGAAGGGGAGAGCAGACATTGAGGGTTAGGGGTTGAAATTAGTACAGAGAGTCATCTGCTTTTCAATTCAATTCAATTCAAAGTGCTTTATTGGCATGGGAAACATATGTTTACATTGCCAAAGCAAGTGAAATAGATAATAAACAAATGTGAAATAAACAAAAAATGAACAGTAAACATTACACTCACAAAAGTTCTAAAGGAATAGAGACATTTAAAATGTCATATTATGGCTATATACAGTGTTTTAACGATGTGCAAATAGTTAAAGTACAAAAGGGATAATAATATGTGTCTCTAATATGGTGATACATTTGGCAGGAGTTTAGGAAGTGCAGCTCAGTTTCCACCTCATTTTGTGGGCAGTGTGCACATAGCCTGTCTTCTCTTGAGAGCCAGGTCTGCCTACGGCGGCCTCTCAATAGCAAGGCTATGCTCACTGAGTCTGTACATAGTCAGAGCTTTCCTTAAGTTTGGGTCAGTCACAATGTTCAGGTATTCTGCCACTGTGTACTCTCTGTTTAGGGCCAAATAGCATTATAGTTTTCTCAGTTTTTTTGTTAATTCTTTCCAATGTGTCAAGTAATTCTCTTTTTGTTTTCTCACCACATTAGAGTAGGAATGCCAATGTCAAAGAAGCCACAGCTAGGGGGGGCTAGGGAGGTCCTGGGTGAGTGAGAGGTAATGGAATTGGAATCGGCCTCATTCATTGTTTGAGTGGTGTGTGTGTGTGTGTGTGTACTGTATGTGTGTGTGTGTGTGGGCGGGGGGGTGTTGCGGGGGTGTATGTGTCTAAGTCTGTGTGTGTGTGTGTGTGTACTGTATGTGTGTGTGTGTGTGGGCAGGGGGGGTGTTGCGGGGGTGTATGTGTCTAAGTCTGTGTGTGTGTGTGTGTGTACTGTATGTGTGTGTGTGTGTGTGTGGGCAGGGGGGGTGTTGCGGGGGTGTATGTGTCTAAAACTGTGTGTGTGTGTGTGTGTGTGTGTGTGTGTGTGTGTGTGTCCACGCCCACAAGCCATTACCATTTGCACTTTCTGGAAGTATTTTCAAACTTGTATATTCAGATCTGTCATTATAAATCACACACAAATGCATGCACGCACACACACGCACGCACGTATGCACGCACACACAGACATACAGAGCCCTTATTAAACTCACAGTCACATCCCGCTGGTCCTATTGAGCTTTCCCACCCCAACTGTCAGCCTGCTTGCCTGCCTGCTTTTCCCTGACTTCCCCTCCTTTATCCTGTCCACAGCGCCAAGCAACCAGCCTGCTCATTGTGGCCCTGCTTATTGGGGCTTATTTGTGTCCATTCTCTCAGTCTCTCATCTGGTCTCTCTCTCTCTCTCTTTCCCTCGCTCCGAGCCATGAGGCCCCAGGCTGTGTTCAGTCAGCCCTTAAGACGCACACGTCATTGTTCTCACACCTGGTAAGACCTTACTCTCTCTGCCTCTCTCCAGAATATGTTTTTCCACCTCAAATTCAAGAGGTTAGAGGGAGTTTGTCACGTACCACTAAGGTTGTTTGCTGTTTATCTCCTGAGCTGTGGTGGTTTAGCTCATGAGGGAACTGGAGTGGAGAAGAGGGGGTGGAGTTTCCGTAAAAGATTGTGTCTCTTTGGGCCTCGTACTTTTTGGGCTAATCCGATTAGCATGCGGACAGAATATCTACTAATCGGGGGATTTGACTCCAAAGCCAACATGGGCTGCCTTATCTGTGTAGACTTACAGATACAACAGCAGCATACCTCACCTGTGGACGTGGCCCATCACAACTACTCAGTCAGAGTGTTGTCCCTGGTTACCACAGTCTGCTGGATGGAAACCGCCACTGGATATTTGGACGTGTTGACAGGGCCCGTAATGAGGCAATGAGGCCCGAAACTGCTGGGCTGTCACAGAGGCAATGGAAGGGGGTGTACCAAGGAGAATTACAATTTGTCCCGTTCTTAGGGAACATTGCCCATTGAGTCCAACCTGCATTGTTAACAGTCAGAGGCATCGCAGACAATAGCACTGAGACAATGGGAAGTGCCGCCTGGATTGTTTGAGGGGGGTCTTGCATACAGTCGGTCATTATGCACCTAATTCGCAGACAATAGCATTAGAAGCTAATCACGGTAGTCCCAACATTAGCTTCTGTGCACCTCCCTTCATCTCCCTCACTGACAAAGCGGATCAGCTTGAGTTGCAGGCCCATCTGAGCTCCGTTAAAGCTCCAGCTGTTCCTCGTCATCCTCCTTATCCACGGTAACAGACCCACCCTGCCTCTGCCAACCGTTGATGACAACACACACAATCACCTGTGACAATAGAAATTAAAGCTATTTAAATGGAAGATATAGCCTAATCCCTCCATGTCTAGCCAGGCATGAAATAGTGCCACATGTATGTTGGCAGATAACCAGTGCCATATTATGTGAAATCTTGGTAATAGGGGGCGACTAATGTAAGTGGAGGTATAACGTTTATGTGCCTGGGACCCCATGATGGTTTTCCCTGCCCCTGACTCTCTGAGCCTTCTTCTGCTTAGGGGCATTGCCTGCACCAACTCCCCATATAGATCAGGGACACACTTTCCAAAGAGGAGCTGTTGTGCTGAGGCTTTCTCATTCCCAGACGGTTACTATGATGTCTGTCGTTTTCTATTTAGTCCTATTGACGTGTGATCCTCTTAATTACAACACACTGATCTAACCTTCACATCTTTAGAGTCACCAAAACCTATCCAGGCAATGGTGATTCCTTCTGTTTTTCTTCAAACACCATTCTAGGTGGTGTGGTTTGAAAATGGCAGCCCTGGTGGTTCCACCTCAGGGAGTCAAAGGGTCAAAGGGGTTAGTCTGTGGGGCTGGCGTGTAACCCGGGGTGACAGTTAGGCAGTGATGGCCCTCTCAGAACTTTAAACAACACCCTCTGGTCCCTCTGAAACATCTGTGGAAGTCCACACAGCACCCACCTGAGATCAAAGCGACCCTGAGCCTCAGCTCTGATTTCTCAGTGCGCACACACACACACACACACACACACACACACACACACACACACACACACACACACACACACACACACACACACACACACACACACACACACACACACACACACACACACACACACACACATACCCATAGATTGGAGAAATGAGACCCCCTTGACCTACTGGTCTCCCCTGGCTTTGTGAACTACACTCTGGCACAAATCTCCCCAGGAGGGTGGGCCTGGGCCAGGGCCAGGGATGTGGCATTCATTCAAATGGCAGCAAAGGGGGGTTAACGTCAACTACTTCCCAGAGAAAGGACTGGAGGAAGAAATGAATGGTCCACATCAAACATGTAAATCCCTCAAATACCATGTGTGCACATGGACTTGATACACAGGATCACCCTCCACAGGTAGCCGAGCACATCGCATGCCCCATGCCGGAGCCCAGCGAGTACACACTCCAACACACCACAAACATACACGCTCAGTCAAACATACCAAACATCCTCCTCAGTCACACACCACAAACATACACTCTCATTCACACCTTCAATGTAAACATTGACCTCAATGTGTACACAAGCCCTCCTCCTTGTAGGAGTAAAATAATGTTTTAATTACACTTCTATCTAACATGCTCCACTGTCAACGCTGGGTGTTCCTGCATCCAGGCCTCATCAATATCAGACCCCCAGTGTTTCTGTGGTCCGACATGCATGTTGGTTAACTATCAACGGTTGCCTATAAATGAAGGTCATTGATGTCCATAATATGGATGTCTGAGTAAATTATTTAAAGGTTGTTTAAGTGTAAATTGGTTGACATCTTTGATACATCTTTAAAGGTCCAATGCAGCCGTTCTGAGTAACAATTAAGTACCTTACTGTGATTGCTTTCAATTAAAATGGTCAAAAAGAAACAAAAAATAGCTTCTTAGTAAAGAGCAAAGAGCCATTTCTCAAGCAATAATTTTGTCAGTCACATGTTGTTTGTTTACAAGCACACAATGACGAGAGACTAGAGACTTCTGAGTCACTCACTGTCGTGCAGCACACACCAGGTGATATTACAGTACGGAACTCACAACTAAATGTTTGCCAGCTAGATATCTAAATGCTCTGCAGTTGTGCATTTGGTTTACTAACTTAGTAGCTAGTTATCTAGCTAAGTGGTTAGCTTCTTGCAATCAAGTAGAGGTCTGCACGACTGATTTATTCATCCCGCTCCTTTTCATACCACAACCGCTGGCTTTCTGTCCGAATCCCACCTGCTACCGCAAGAACTTGTACGAACCCAACCGCAGTTATTTTAGGCGTATGTGATGATGCAGCTCACTTGCCAGCCATGGTCGCAGCAATTTTGCACCCTATAGACAATATCAAATCATAATTTCACAGTATTATTCCAACCTCATAGTGTGGAAATATATATAAAACACAGGAAAATCTAGTTTTTGACTGCACTGGACCTTCAAATCTTGAATCTGAATGAACTTTATTTTCCAGCTTGGTTTTCTTGGTCCTTTTGGCTTCTCTCAATTCTATGTATTTTCATAGTCTCTCCAGAGATCATAAATCTAGCCTCAGGTCATATGATCCAAAAAGGTGCTGAAAAATGTACGGAAGTCAAGAGTGACATTCACATGGGTTTCCAGGTAGACAACCCTAAGATGATTAAGGTGATTCATATTCTATCTAGAATTAAAATCACAAGGAGTGACAGACAATCTTGACTGACATTAAAGCAGAAAGGTCAGGTGTCCCATGGCAAATATACAACGTATATCAGACATTGGCATGTGATGTTATTACAACCCTATAAATAGAATCCCTGCTTCACGTCAGCTCTCATGACAGCAGCCTCACAGGAACCTGACAAAAGAGCTCCTTGTCTCTGTGCACAGGCCTGTGGTTACCAATGTAATAGATACTCTCAGAGAGATCCTAGAGGAGAGAGTAAAGAGTGGAGGAGCTGAGGAATCAAACCCACTGGCCTTCGGTGGCTTTATCATTACTTTGTGGATAAAGTATTCTATGTATTTTCAGCATGAAATACACTGAAAAGCATCAAATGGACCAGATATAAAGAGCGCTATGGTTTCCAGTACGACCTCGCCAATAATCTGACTCCAGCCTTTCTGGCACGTCTCCAACATTCCCATCCCCTGGATGTGGACCGCTGTCGGTGTGTGTGTGCTGCTACATCAACCAACCAATCCCTCTTGTGCTGGCAGAACTCTCAGCCAGCTTCTACCAGTCACACAACAAAGGCCAATCTGCATACACCCGTCCTTTTATCCTATCGATCAGACGTCAGGACGCTGTCACCCGGGCAGGGGCACACCCGAAATGAGGATCAACCAGCAGCATTTCTGCAGTTTTATGAACCCCCCGCCATGAGGGCTTAATGACCTCAAAGAGAATAGCAGATTGATCACAGGTGCACTATAGCTTTAATGAGGGGGTGGGGGCGATTAGTACCCCCAAACCCCCCATTCTCAAACTCCTGGCTGTCAGCTAATGAGAGCCTGGGCTAGTCTGAATTCTAATCTTTTATTTTACAGGGATTCTTTAATGGGGCTTGGGATAAGCCTGGTCTTGCGGATTATGGACTCGCAGTGAGTAGGTGAGTTGTTTCCGTGTTTAAATTAAGATTGCCAGTTTTAGAGGTACACAGCCCCAAACCAAACTATGTTTTGGGAGACAGGGCCTGTGTGGGCTTTGAATGGCTTGATTTGGACTGAAATAGTAGGTCAAGCTCGACAGGAGAATTCAGTATTTTAAATGTTCTAAGGTTTGGCACTGGAAAGGTTTGTCTGTGAATCCAGCTGCCTGGAGCTGTTTCAGCTGCCTACCAATCCCAAGCCTCTCTACCCACCAGCAAGTGCCAAAGGTGAAAGTGAAAAAACAACTGTTGGTTTTCTCCTTGTACCCCTCAGTGTGTTTTCAAAACTCCAAACTCCATCTAAACTTGTGACTGGGACTAAGTCCACTGTGGAGGAAATAATATTAACAGCTCCGGGACTAATATTGTATTGACTGAGTGCCATGCCAATATCTTGAGAGATGCTACTATTATGGCTGCCGCTCCAGTCCGCTGGGTGGCCCGTGTCACCCTGCGCAGGGAGAGAGGACGGAGTAGTCCTGGGTTAGACAGAGAGGTGGGATTCACGCTGACATGGGCAGCTGCAACAATGGGAACATCTCTCAGACTAAGCTAAAGACAGGCGCAGCTGGGGCCAGAGAACTCTCCTATTGACACCTGTCGCCTGGTCATTTGTCAAGTGATTTAATGGGAATTGGTGGAGGAGGGGGTGGAGGTGGGCAGAGGGGGAACAACGGTGAGAAAGTAGAGGAGAGGCAGTGGACCACACACAATGACTGACACTGTTCTCTCTCCAGTTTTTATTTCTCTCTCCCACGCCAGCCACACCTGTGCCCATAATAAATCCTGCACTTCCTTTACCCCTCATTCAGAGGGATCTGTTGAGAGGTTTCTCTGCAGAAGTGTGGGTCACGGAAACCGGCTTGGGTAATGTCCCCCGCTGGGATGTCAACAGCAGGTGCTCTGGTGCTTTTAACTGGATATGCCTTTTGCTTAAGTCATAATAGCCGCTGCTGTGGAACGCACTTCCAGACACTATTAGCGCTGCAGAGTCTCTGTCCTCTGCTAATTCTGTTCTTATGTCCTCCGGATCTGACGACACCTTTGATTGTTGTCTGTGTTCTATGTTCTGTGTTTTGGATATTTTTTTTTATATATATATATTTTTTAATGCACCTTGGGTGTGAGAAAAGCGCTTTACAAATCAAATGAATTATTATTATTATTATTATTATTATTATAACTTGGATTTAAGAGCAACTTTATGTAACCTACTGTTTTGTAGACAATGCATAGCTGCTGGTCTGTTTGAATATGTCATTATGCTGTCATAGGATAAGGGCTAGTCTTTATAAACACTGTTCAATACTACTGAACTCATGAACTAATTCAGTCTATCAGTCTCTGAACTCGTTAATTCAATATGTCAGTCTCTCAGTTTAAAGGTGTAATCCATAAAGTCTATGTTCCCTGTGGCAAGAAAATGAAGCCTGGTTTGATCTGTGCCAGTGAGTGCACCGGTTCCTATTATTCTTTAGTTTTACACTTACAGCTAGTGCCTTTTAAAGTTGCCTGTCTTTGGTTTAGTGAGTTAGACTTTTGAAGGATTAAAATACACAGCCTTTGGGGAGGCAAAGAACAATGTGT